CTTCCATGTGCCCGTCAGGCAAGGTAACGTTGTGGTGAAGGTACACACGGAGCAAGAGGCCCCAGGACTGTTCGGGGTTAGGACCTGCCAGTGATGATGAGCCATTCTCAGTCCCTCCTCCAGAAAGCCGAGAAAATTTCATCCTGTAGCCCAAGTTGAGAGTTGGAAGGAGAGAATTTCCTCAGTTTCTTGAAGACTCCATGCTTGAGATATGTCTGAATGTCTCTAATTCATCAGTTCTTTTAATTTCTTTCAAGATGTATGCTTAAGGAGATTAATAAACATTAGTGACTTAGAGTTTGGTAGCACCTCTTTTTAAATCTGTTTTTAAAAGAATAATGGCTTCTTGCAGTGTTACTGCTGATCTGAAACTCCACTGATTTAATTTAACTGAGCTGTCCTGACTGTTGAAATTGTGTGTCTCTCTTCGCTAATGCTTGTCGTGTCTTTTTTTTTTTTTTTTAAGAGCACTGGTGGCTGCTGAGGTGTGTTCGAGTTAATGGAAGAAGCTGTTGCCAGGTCACTTGGTCACAAATGCATTGACTTAATTTTTTTTCTTGGTTTTAGGGCAATAGTTCTTCAGAAAGAACCAAATCCACAGGATCATCGCGTTCAAAAAGGTTGGTTTGAAAAATGAAAATATATAACTTATTTTGGGGCACGTGAAACTATGGAAAAGTCAAGGCACAAGGCCAGATACTTTTAGTATAGAGCAGTATAAATCCGTTAAGTTAGGAGAGTGCTGGTAAATGCCTCACAGTGCGCTTGAAAAATCAGAACATCTTTCAAGGTCGAAGGTTAAGATGATAAAGCTTGGGTTTTATTAGCAAAACCGACAGGATTATCCTGTATCTTCAGGACAAAGGTGTTTATACAGTTATTTCTTCCCTCTATTTCTGCATGCAGGATTTTTCCAAAAATGTAAATTGGGTCATGCAGTAAAAAAGCTTTATGTATAGTTGGGAGACTGTAGAATGAAAATGTGCTATTAAGCTGTCTGTGCAGAAACTGCCATTTGCTGTACCTCTCCTTAATCTTTTTCTGCTCTTTGATTAAAAAAAGTACAGACTTCACTGTTTACCAACCAGTTTGACCCTACTGGAGACAAATTATTTGTGACCAGAATAATAGCAGACTTATTCTAGTAAATCTCCTTCTCATTTTTGCTCTCATTTGGGTTATATCCTTTGTCATTTTTTTTTTTAAATGTATGGGTAGGTGAGCTCTTCTAAATGCACAATTTCAACAGCTGCCTTCTTGCTGCTGAAAATTATGCTCCGTGGGGTTTTTTTCCCCCTTTATTTTTTTTTCTTCACTGTCCTGACACAGTAAATTCATTCATTTTAGTGGATTCAGTTCTAGATTATGCTTGTGTGAAATTCTGACAACCGGTCGTTTTATTCAGCAGTCAGCTTTTTAGTTTCTTCCTGCACTTCCTTTATTTCGTTGCAGTCCTCTTTTCTGCCAAGCTGCTTTTCTGTAATTTGCTAATATCTGAGTTTTCTCTTTCCTCTGCCTGTTAAACTTGAAATTACGTATAAAATTTCTGAGCAGACATTCACTTGTTTCATTTAGGCTTTTCCCCTCAAAGTGGGACTTTCCTACAAACCTTCTTCAAAATGTATCAAACGATTTTACAAAAAAAAAAACCAACCCCAAGCCATCAAGGCTGTGAAACAAAAATATTTTGTTAGTGTATATTTTTATTTCACGTAGTAGGGGAGAATTCCTGTTCTTAACAAGAAAAGTAGCTTACACCTTACTGCAGTAACTCAGCGCATTCCACTCCATCATGCTTTAGAGGAATTTTAAAACGACATAGGTTTCCCCAGCGAGGGTGGTGCATTGCCTGCAGATCATCAGGCTTACCTGTATCGCAAGATGTGCTCTTGGTCATGATATGAGGTTTGTTGGGTTTTTTTTCTATCTATGCAGGAAACCTACAGTTGTAACAAAATACGTTGGATCAGACGAGGAACAAATCTTAGATGAAACCGTAAACGAAGATATTTCAAATGAAAACTCCGAAAACGATGTTGATATGCAAAGCTTACCTAAAGGTAGTTCACGTCTGTCTTTGTTTCTGAATTCAACAAACGAGCCAAGATTATGATGCAGCATAAATAGAGAACTAGGATGCACATGGTGTAGCAAAATGCCTGTCTTAGGTCCCGGTGGCTTTTATACAGAAACATATGAGCTAGTGCACAAACACCCCACACGCCCGTGGAAACCCAGCACCTTTAAATCTGAACCCAGCACCTTTAAATCTGAACCCAGCACCTTTAAATCTGAACCCAGCACCTTTAAATCTGAACCCAGCATACTTTAATCTGTGGGTGCACCAGGACGTGCTGGTGGCTTAATGTCAGACGTCTGCCGACGTGTATAAAAGCTAAAGTGACAGGGGAAATAGTTTAGTTCTTTTGCAGAAGTCTCAAACTCTTGTCACCTGCAAGTCTTAGTTATTCTGTCGTTCTGTCTTTGAGGTTATTAACAGATCAACAGAAGCAAAACTGAATCTGCAGGCAAAATGTCATTGTTATATCTATTTTTAAGCACCCATTTAAACCAGTTAATACTATGAGCCTACATCCTACTTTTCTTAACTATAGTGTGAGTGTGTTTAACCTCTTCCATTTCTTACCTGTGAAAATTACAGGAAAAATTGAAGGGATCACTAGGGTTTGCTGCAGAAGTGGCAATGTTTAAAGCAGTCGCTTTAAAATTATTTTTTCAGAATGTTAGATTATCCCAGTGTCCCCACAACAGAAGTACTAAAACTGAGCTCTTAAGCAGGAAAGGGGTTTTTTTTTCATTCGCATAACTTGGATTTTTATTCTATTGCTTTTTATTTATTTCATACTGAGATGAATTAAGATGAGGGAGACTGGATAGCAGGGGAAAAAGAGAGAAAAGTGTAGTTACTCTAAGGCTTTCGATAGGTTTAAGTGACCTAACCCAAGTCCTAGTCCTTTATTTGTAGCGTTGCGCTGCACATTCCTGTACGACGTGCACCCAGCAGTGTGTCAGTCCTGTTCTGCACCTACCGTGTCAGGGCAGGGAGAGCACAGTTTGCTCCTCACGACCCGTTCAATCTTTAGCTTTTGTCCTACAACTGCAAAACAGGTGTAGTTTGAAGTGTATGTGGGGTTTTTTGGGGTGGGTTGTTTTTTTTTTTGGTGAACGTTTGTGCATTCAAAGGTTCGCTGAATTTAAGTCAGATTACACTTTAATTTTGAGGTACGATGTTGGCTTTTATTTAAACAGGACTTTTGCACTTCATTTGGATGTGTAATGGTTTCCAATTTCTAAATAAAATTATTCTAGGTACAGTGGTTGTACAGCCTGAGCCAGTGCTGAATGAAGACAAAGATGATTTTAAAGGGCCTGAATTTAGAAGCAGAAATACCGTTAAAATGAAACCTGAAGCTCCCAAAAAGCGTGGAGGTAAATACAATTTAAAACATTTATTAAAACGGGTTTAAATTGTTGCTTATGGCCACATTTGGTACATCTGAAAATTGTTCATATTTCTAATAAATTATCCTAAAAATACCTCCACTCTTCTGGCTTTTTGTTCATTAAGGATTCTGGCTGTCTGCAATTAGCCTCCATTGCTGCCCCTGCAATGCAGCAGTGAAAGCTAAGAGGAGTTCTCATTAAATTTCTTGTTGTTAGTAGCTGTAGGATGCATCATGAGGTGCTCCATACGGACCTTCCTTGCGTTGTATTCACAGCAGTCACTTGGTTGTACTCAGGTGTTCCTTCTGTGAGGACTTCACATCACAACAGCAACGGCCAGATATGGAAACATTCACTGACACCCCAAGGGAAAAACGTATTTGAGCAGAGACATGCATAGGCATCCTGTCCATCAGCGAGCTAACGCGAAACCTAAAACCTCTAGCAATTCAAAGACTTTTTTTTATTTTGTTTTTAAATTGCGGGAAATTCCCTCCCCATGGGCCCTTCTCAAGATTATCTTCAAAAAGCTGCTGTCCCGGCCGGTTTTCTGTAGCTGCTGCTAAAACTGAGAAGTTAGGTAGATTATAGTGATAACAGAAATTACTCTTTTTTTTTTTTTTCTCCAAAAAGTAAAGAAGAGGGAGGGTTATGTATAAAGCAGCCAATAAGAAAGCAGATATTTTTGTTGAGACTACTAGCAATGTCTTAGTTTACGCGATGGTAGGTGCCCAGGATATTCAGACCAGCAGCTCTCAAGTACACTGCTCGTTCTTTGCCTTGTGTCATTTGAGATACTTGCTCTCTTTTAGAGCCTTATTAGGAGTTGGTAAGTGCTCTTTCTGGTTGAAAAGGAGTAAAATTTGCCTGTATGAAGATGTGCTTGTGCATACCTGTGGGCTCATGCATGATTTTAATCACATTTTGAGCATTGACATCTCTAAATTATTAATCTTTAGAAGCTAGTTCCATGCTATTCATGAAAGATGTCCCTTTTTGCACTTAGAAATGTTTTTTCCGGTTGTGTTTGTAACAATTTCACAAGAGGCCCAGCAGAAATCTTCAGGGGTGTGGTGCTAGAAAGAGGGGACTCTCCTGCTTGAGCTCTGTGGCCTGTGTCTGCATCCCCCGGACAGCTCCCAGGGCCTGCCCTTCCAGCTTTTTTTCTCATCCCTAGAAAATTTGCAGGTATTCCTTTGTGTATCTTGACTGCTTGGTCTTGTACCGGTGCCTGACATCAGATACAGTTTTGGAAGGGACATCAAGAGGTTGTTTATCCCCAGAGCAAGCTCAGCTGTACCTGTGTCACTACTGATAAGCATTGATTTTATTTTCAAGCTCTTCAGTACATGTGTTAAGTTCCTGTCAACTTCCAGGGAAATGGAAGGGAGACTGCCTGCTCCTGTGTTGTTCCCCCTTGCAGACCAGGAAAGGTAGCCAGAGAGGGGTGTGAGTGCAGGAGTAGCTATTTTGTGACCCGCGCAGAAGAGGTCATGCAGATCCATTTTCTTCTACGCTTGCATTTAGCGAGTCTAGTTCTGTGAAACCGCACTTGCCTTTCTCTTTCTGATGGAAGGAGGTGCCCAGCCTGAGCACGGACAGACTTAAGCTTTAGGGGTTTGAGCAGGTAAGCGTGTAGTCCCGGCTACCTCAGATCCTGAATTCTATGCACAGTGCAAGTAAATCGATAGCAATAAAAAATGTCAGTCCACCGTCTTCTTTGCGGAGTGTATCTTTGCATATTTTTTAGGAGTTAATATGTCCTGTTTGCATCGGAAATAGGGGTAGTAATAGAACTCTTGCCTTTCTGGCGTCCGAATGCTCTTGTCCCAGATTGTAAGAGACATTGTGTCAGTCCTTGTTTTCAGATTTTGGGTCTGCAGAGTGGTTATGGTTGTATTTTTTGCTAATCAACTCATAGTAATGGTTTGTAAGTAAGTATTTTCTCAATATTAATGAATTAGTAGTCATTTAATTTCTTTGGATCATCGTAACTTACAGTAGTAACATAGCTTACAAAAGTTTTCCTCATAAATCATTCTCTTTCTGGTGCCAGTTTGCAGATTTTAGAGAAGGAGGCGGTAGTGCTTCCCTTTAAATTTGTAGACAAGTGGGAAGTGGCTTGAGAGTTGATGCTGAATAGCTTGTTCTCCCTCAGGTTGGCTGCTCCCCCCTGAGCTCCTTACAGCCCTTTAGGGACTGTGGTGTTTAAGAAAGCCCGGGTAGGCTTCTGGGCTGCCCGCTGTATTACAGCGTGGTGTTCTTCTCCAAGTGGTACGATAGGTTGGATGTGTTTATTCGAGGTTTACCGACAGAGTTTGAAAAGGGCTTCTGAGCTGTTTTTGAGGTTGTAAGGTTGCAAGCTCAGGAGCTCTGCACCACACACAATCACGCGTGCATTGAAGTTGTAAAGAACAAATCTTGTATTCAGACTTTTCAGACCAGCTGTTTGCACTGAATTGTGAGGGTGTATTAGTTGTTCCTAGTGGCCTGTAAGCTATCTGAGATTGTGCTTCAGCAGCAGATTGCAAGTAGCTTTTACTGTGTCCTGAGAATGTTCATTCTACTTCTTTACGTTACGGTGTTGGTGCTCTGTTCTAATTCTGTCGTAGCAATTACTTAAAAAAAAAAGTTAAATATATAGTCTGTACTCAGAGTGTAACCATTTAGTTAGCCCTTTGATTTGATTTTCTTAGACTACTTACTGAACACGAGAGCAAAGGACAAGTCACAGTTAGGTGATCCCATATCAAACCTCTGTCTGCTCGATCCCAAATGAAGTTTTCGAAAGTGTATGAACTGAGTGTGTGGTGATTGTCCTTTTTTTTCTTGAAACTGTCACTGGTGTTGAAAACCAACTGGTCTCATAGTATTAATTAGTGAGTTGAACAGCCTGGCACGTAGCCAGCCTGCCAACCCCAGGTTCACCACCTTTCAAAGTGATTTGGGGGATGGACGTTAAAGAAGTGCTTTCTTGACCGAATGTAGATACCCCAGCAGAGTGGTGCAGTAACTGTGGGAGCAGTCAGCAAAGTGATGAGAACATGGATATTATAGTTTTTAAAAAAAGACCCAGAAAGCCCAAACTAACTCAAAACTAAAACCCCATCATCAAGAAGGGAACCAAAAGTGAAAAAAAGATTATTTTATTTTTTTCAGGCACTATTATAACGGTTTTGTGCATCTTTTCTGACAGTTTCCCATATTTTTCTTTGAGAAACTAAAACTGTATGTGAAAAAAAGGTAATGCAAACATGAATTAAAATGACATTTTGTGAACAAAGATTAAATGATGAGGGTGGTACAGAATATCAGGGCTGCTTTGAAAGAGTTTTAGGGATGACTCTTGTTTAGGTATGTTCTCATGAGGCAACCAGTTAATCCAAATAAAATATCTCCAAGGGAAAAAAAAAGGTATCTTGGCCCCAAGTAGAGTATAGAAACTAGAGTCTTTAAATGGCAAGTGATTGCAGAAAGATTTCTCTAATGCTGAGTGGTAAAAAAATAAAGGCATATGGCAGCAGGCCAGAATATTGTGAGAAAATGAAATAGATACATACAGATTTCTTAAAAATGCAAACGATTAATGTGTGGTTTATAATCCTCTCTATAGAGGAAGGACTACATGGAATTGTAAGCTGTACAGCTTGTGGGCAACAGGTGAACCACTTTCAAAAGGATTCAATCTATAGACATCCTACACTGAAAGTTCTTATTTGTAAGGTATGTGGTAAACAGTTCTACAGTTTATTCTGTGTGGTTTTGTTTGAAATGTCATATTGATGGATTTGCGTGGGATTTTTGTGGGAATGGGTCTTGTTTATTAGCCAATCAACTTTTCAGTCAACTGTTACAATTAAGGAAACTAAGAGCAGAAAACAAAAAGGCAAATACAGCTTAAAAAAAATTAAATTCCTATTTTCTTATACCTCAGTTAAAATCAATTATGGTTTCTTTTAAATTTATTTTTTCAGTTTTAGGGCTATAATTCTCATGGTTTGTTTGTGTGAAATGATGCGTCTGAAAGTTCTGCCTGGTCGTCATGTACTTTAAGAGCAGATTGAATTCTGGATCCCCTGATAAAGCACTGGATGTCAAACAGCATCATCATAAGAAGTGAAAAAGTAGCTTCAAAGCTGTCTTGAGTTTCACGTGTTTCACCTAAAACGAGTTCCATGGTGGCTTCAGTTAGGCCCTAAGCTGCACGCCGTGGGAAGAGGTGGGGAACTGGGGAGGAAGGAAACATCCCTGCCTCCTGTTGTAGAGGCCTCTCTTAACTTGCGAAGAGATACAGAGTCTTGCATGTCTCTGTAGTTGTAGAGATTCTGTATTTATAAAGGTATCTCCAAAGGTGGATACGGATCTGTGTTGAAATGCACATTTAGCATTATCCTTCTCTTCCTTCCTCCACCAGTTCCCAGTTAATGCTACAGATTCAGCTGACGTAGTGTCTCAGGCACGTCCAGCTAGTCTTAATGTTCTGACTCATTTCTTCTATTCATTCTGGTTTGTTTCTTTTATAAAACATGCTCTAGAAAAATCAGCTGACGGGACGACTGTTTTCAGTCTTCAGTGGAGTCCTGACTCTTGTTCCTGGACTCGAAAATCCTGAGCGTGTAGCTGTAGCTGTGATGCATGCAAGTCATCCGGTTCATTTTGGAAACTCGTTCAGGGTCTTGGGTTGAGTAGCAGCTCTTGACTGTGAGCTCTGCTGCCTAATTATGTCATGTGTTGTTTCCCAGAAGTTTTCTCTCTCTTTATTTCATGTGAGAGAGAGGGATGGAAGTCCCTGATGTGCATACTCCAGGGCTTCCATTCCTTTCTGTGCCTAGTTCTTCCCTTATTTTTTTCCTGCGTAGCTAAACAGTCCCAGACCAGAGATGCTGTTTTCCTATGACTATAAATGTTCCCTCAAGTGTTTAAAACATCACTTTTTATGTCTGTTGTTGTTGCTTGGTTTTGTTTGCTTGTTTTAGTTTAGCTGAATAGGTGTATAAAACTGTGTTCCAGATAAAGGGACATCCTCATTTTAAGTTCAGGTGCTGAAGCCTCTTCTGGATTCTCATTTCACTGACGCACTGGGTAAAAGGACGGAATTTAGCTGATGGCTTGCATTAATCCCATTCAAAGTAGAGCTTCAGGTCTAGGAGAACCTTCTTTACTAGCAACTGAAAGAAAGCCCCACACTTTCAAAATCTGATATAAAGGATTCAGCAACCAAAGCTACTGCTTCTAGTAGTTGTGTATTTTTTCCTTAGCATTACCAGTTTTTAGAAGCAAATGCTTAGCTTGCACCTTGAACATTAACTTCAGGATAAATACCGAAGACCTTTTTATTTAAAGCCTTGCAGGGTCGATTGCAAACATAAGGAACATAGAGCTGAAAATTGTAATTTTTGTAGGATTGATAGTGTCAGGGGAAGATGTGTTGATTTACCTGGAAGTAAATGGAAAAAAAACTTGGTATGAAAGCATTCAGTTGATGTTCTAAAATATGCAAATACACAGCCATCAGACAGAAGCCTGTTTAATTTTCAAATAAACCCTGAGCCATCTAAATAAGAAGTCATCAAGTCATGGTTTAGGACCTGTTGTATCTGTGGCAGGTGTTTTTTACGTTAACACAAGTGTAAAAGGCTTAGAATGCTGAAGACCATGCAGCTGCTGCTTTTGATGGCTTGCTGCTAGTACATGCTAAACTCATATCAGTTACTGAAGTCCAGTTGAGATTTCATAAAATAATTCCTTGTCCTGTCTCTTCTTCACAGACTTGCTACAAGTATTACATGAGTGATGACATTAGCCGTGATTCAGATGGGATGGACGAACAGTGTAGGTAAGTGTACAGAAACTGAAATAATCCCCACAGCTTTTCGGTTTTCATTTGTGGAGTTTTTTTCCTTGCAATAATGAAATTATGGACAAATAAAGACCAGTACATAAGAGCTCAATGAGCATTTCTTGGCAAGAAACAGTTGTTAAACCCCAGGGTTTTTGTAAATATTTGCTTGTTATTTTACTAAATGTTTATTTTATAGAGAAATCCAGTAGCGAGCACTTGTAAGATATCACATTTTAAATTAAATAGTGTGCCACCTTACAGATACTTTAAAGGTGGGGGTAGAATCTGACATTCCAAACATTGTGAGCCACAGAAACTTACTTTCCCAGATGCATCTCCCACTTTTGGAATAGTCAAATACTTGACTCTCCTTATGTCAGATATCTAAATGTCAAAGTTGTGTGGACAGTGATACCCAGGAGCTTACTTGGCAGCCACTTTTCAGGTCTTCATCAAAGACTCTGCAGTCTAGACAGAGATCAAACCCCATTCCATTTCTTTAACATGTACCTGCAGTAATAATGTGCTGGTTAAGGCTAGAAAGACATAAAATTTGTTTTGCTGGAAAATAAAAGAAATCACTTCTCTTTATTTTTTTACTCCTAATTTTAAAAACTGAGTATGAGCCACTAATGTGTGCTCACAGCCCAGAAAACCAATGGCATCCTGCGCGGCTTCAAGAGCAGCGTGGCCAGCAGGGCCAGCGAGGTGATTCTGCCCCTCTGCTCCGCTCTGGTGAGACCCCCCTGCAATTCTGTGGCCCCCAGCATAAGAAGGAGGAGAACCGGAGTCAGAAAGGGTCCAGGGGAGGGTCACGTTGCTGATGAGGTGTCTGGAGCACCTCTCTTATGAGGATGAGCTGAGAGAATTGGGGCTGTTCAGTCTGGAGAAGAGAAGGCCCTGGAGACACCTCTTAGAGGCCTTCCAGTGCTTAAAGGGGGCTACAGGAAAGCTGGGGGGAGCTATTGGTTGGGGGTGTAGTGATAGGACAAGGGGTAATGGTTTCACACTGCAATAAGGTAGATTTAGATTAGATAATTAGGAAGAAATTCTTGTCGCAGTTGGGTGCTTTTCGGTCAGGCTTTTAACAGTGTTTTCAATTAATAGATATCTGTTTATCACCTACATTTTTTAAATGCAAATTCTTAAATCATGACAAATACGTGAATGTCTCGAATTTGTCGCCTTGTCGATACAAAGATAAGACTCCTGTATTCTTACGTCTCGTTTCAGGTGGTGTGCTGAAGGTGGAAATTTGATTTGCTGTGACTTTTGCCATAACGCCTTCTGTAAAAAGTGCATTTTGCGCAACCTGGGTCGAAAGGAGCTATCGACTATACTGGATGAAAATAACCAGTGGCACTGCTATATTTGCCATCCAGAGCCTTTGTTGGACTTAGTCACTGCATGTGACAGCGTCTTTGAAAACTTAGAACAATTGCTGCAACAAAACAAAAAGAAGATCAGAGTTGAAAGCGAAAAAAGTAAAATATATGACCATACAGTCAAGTTTTCTCCAAAGAGAAATAGTTCAAACTGTAATGGCGAAGAAAAAAAACTAGATGATTCATATTCAGGTTCAATAACATATTCTTATAAAGCACTAATGGTGCCAAAAGACTTGCTTAAGAAAACAAAAAAGCTGGTTGAAACTACAGCAAATTTGAATTCTAGATTTGTAAGCTTTTTGAAAAATGCATCAGAAAATGTAGAAATAAGCCCAGCCGTGCAACTTTGTCAGCTAAAAGCTTTTAAATCGGTCTTGAGTGACATGAAAAAAACTCATCAGGCACTAGAAGAAGGTCTGAACCTGGAATTTCAAGCTTTGAATGTTAAAATCAAAGATAAAAATACCAAAGAGAAAAAACCTGATATCAGATCAGAAAAAAATGAGGAGACGAAAGACGAAGGAAAGGAAAACACGTCGTTGAAAGAGGAGAACACCGTAAAGACACCGAAGAAAGTTGCATCAGAACAGCCTGATGGCGAGCCCATGGATCAAAGTGTGCCGGCAGCGGAACAAGGGGACACCAAGCGTGCTTCTGGGGAAGACAAAAAGTCTGGTAGAAATGAAGAACCTCAGTATGAGCCTAATAGTACAGAGGCTTTAGACATGGATATCGTGTCCATTCCCTCATCTGTTCCTGAAGATATTTTTGAGACTCTCGAATCTGCTATGGAAATTCAGGCTGCGTCAGACGAGCAAGATGGTGGAAATACAGGGACAGAGCACGAGACTCCAAATTCAAATGCAAAATCCAACGCTCCTGGGAGAGATACCAAAGGTGGCACCAAGTTAAAGTCGTCGGCGAAAGGCACAAAAGAATTGGTTGTAAAATTGACTCCTGTTTCTCTTTCAGAGCCCACAGTTAAAGCTGAAGATCCAGACAGCAGTGTAGCAAAAGGAAGTAAGGATGAGGGTGTAACACCTAAAGCAGAAAACTGTGATTCTGCAAAACAAAATCATAATTCTGCCAGTGAACCTTCCACAGAGAACGAGACTGTTTCTCCTGTGGAGGAATCTGATCTCAGGAGGTCGCCACGTGTGAAGACCACACCTCTGCGGCGCCCGACAGACATCAGCCCTTTAACATCCAATTCGGAAGAAGAGAGCAATGACACGTGTAGTGAAAAACGGAAGAGAAAACCGTCAAAACTACCAAGGAGGAAAAATGATAAAAGAAATTCTTCTGACAGTACCGTTGATGGTCCTAGCCCTAATAAACTTTCTAAATCAAAAAAGCCATATCTGTTAGATAATAGCTCCGATTCTGATGAGATGCCGGCCGTTCTTAAAGAAGTAGCTATGATGAGTCACAGTTCTTCAGATATTGATAGCAATAGCGAAGCCCCAACGAACGATCAGAAGACTTCAAAGTTTCACAAGAATCAGCCAGTAAAGGATGAAAACGGAAAACGGAAACGGAAGAGTTCCAGTTCTGGTTCCGATTTAGACGCTAAAAGAGGCAAATCAGCCAAAAGTTCCACTGCCGCTAAAAAGAAACGACAAAACTATTCCGATTCTTCCAACTACGATTCTGAGCTAGAAAAAGAAATAAAAATTTTGAGTAAGATTGAGTCTGCAAAAAAAGCTAAGACGAAATACTCACGGAAAGAAGATAGTTACGATTCCTCTGAAGAAGAGCAGAGGAAAAAAGCGAGTAGTAAGAGAAAGAGAAATTTGAGGAAACAGAGGGAGAAATCTTCGGAAGGTGATGAAGCTGAAAAGTCTTCTGCAGAGAAGGAGGTTAATGATTCTTCTAAAGATAAAAAAAATGAGAAGGGGGCAGCTGCTAAGGAAAAGATAAACAGAGAATCAAAAGAAAAAACTGTGAAGGGAAAGCAGGAGGAGTCTTCTGATGTTGAGAAGGCTTTACCGGAGAAAGAGGAGAGTGCTCCTAAAGATGTGAGGCCGACTGAAGTTAAGAGGAGCAAGGATTTGAAAAAGAAAAAGGCACAGGAAGATTCTTCTTCAGAGAGCACTGAAAAATCTGCAAAGAAGGAGCATAATTTTGATTCTTCAAAAGACAGATTCAAGAACAGAAAAGGATCAGAAAGCAAAGCGAAGAAATCTGAAAAATCGAAAAGGAAAAGCTACAAGAAGGAGCAAGATGATTCCTCTTCTGACGTCGAGAAGTCCTCTCCAGAGAAAGGAAGTTGCAATTCGTCCGAGAATGACAAAACGAAGAAAGAACCGGTGCTTAAAGAAAAGGAAAGGAGGAGTTTGAGAGAGAGAGTGTCTAAAAGAGTACAACTTGATTTATCCTCAGATGCTGAGAAATCTCCCCTAAAAGAGGAGAGCTCTTCGGAAGACGCTGTGCCACATAAAAAAAAACCTGACGCTAAAGAAAAGAAAAAACTAAGTCTCAAAAAGAAGATTTCCAAGAAGGAACAGAATGACTCATTGTCGTCTTCTGATGAGGAGTCCTATGAGGACAGCAAGAAAAAGGTGAAAAGAGGGACAGTGAAAGACGGTAAAAAGAGTAACTTACAGAAAGCGTCAAAAAAGGTGGTTGTCACTTCCTCTTCCTCATCTGATAAGGAAGAAAACGATGAACAGAACTCGACGGGTGATGGAAGCAGCGATGAGCAGAAAATTAAGCCAGTGACTGAAAACTTAATGCTGTCAGCTGGCACAGGATTTTGTCAGTCATCAGGTGTGCAAAAGATACTAGTCTACGTGTAGTAGTAACATGCCAGTAGGGGAAATTTTTAAGATTTGGGTAACATTTAAGAGCCTAGAAGTGAAACTGTTTGTAAGGAGGTGCTGAGACATTGAAATGTTTGCAGCCAGTTAGGTTTTCTGATGCTGATTTGGCAGCTCCCGTTTCCCTTTGTGCAGTTTGTCGCTTAAGGATGTTGCTGGCAATGGAGAGGCTTAAGAAGGTATAACCTGTAATTCCAGCATGTGGTTCCTTGCAGCATGGGAACATGCTTTTAAAAAGCAGCTTTTCAGCTTTCAGAAGCCTGTTCTCTGTTACCTTTGCCCAGGTAATGTTTAGCAGAGACTGTTCTTAAGCAGCAAATGCAAATTTGTCAGCTCACAGTTACGCACTGGAGAGGACTCTGAAGGCTTGTGGCGTCGTGTTACGCGTTTGTAAAATGAAGTGGGGGATCTTTGCACCTCGAGACTCCTATAGCCGTGAAGCAGCTGGAGTCAGTTAACAGAAATCTGTCGGCGCTCACAGTTTTCGGAGCAGGTTTAATAGTAATAACGCTGCTTCTTGTCGAGATAGAACTACTTTGTGTCTCAAATTTTTAGGAGATTAGAAAGAAATTCAGAACTTCTGAATTGGAACGTTTCATTTGAAAGAACTTGAAAAGGAAGGATAGTTTTCACATCACATGGACAGCACACATGATTTTAATATATGAATTTTCAACTAGAAAAAAAACGAAATATCTCTGCTGCTTTAATTGATTGTTTGTAGTTTCTTGAAACAACCTAAAAAGCAGCCTGCCCCCAAACAAACAAAACACCCAGATTTTTAGTTAAACATAGTGTTCATTCTTTTTTCCTACCAATGTGATGCCGTCCCAATTCTTCCCTAAATTTTCCTGCAGTTTAGTTTCTGGAGCATTGTTAACCTTTGCAGATGCAAAGGTTGTTTTTCACGGGTGCTCTCCTCTTTTGGGTTTAGAGCCCCGTAAGAGAGCAGCACTTGTAGAGTAACGGTTGGAAAATAAATTTCTTATTCTGCGGATTATACAGCCCAATACTGTTTGTTTTTCAGGGTCCTCTAATGAAGTAAGCTCAGTTGTGTCTCTCTGCATGTAACACTGGGACTTTCAGGGCTTTTCCTTGATGGCTGCCAAAACTGTTTTCCCCAGTGATACCACTGCTAGGGGAGATTGCAAATAATGAATTGTTTGCGTGCTAACGAGCTAGGGTCTTGTGTGCCACGATCGTTAAAACACCCCATGACAGTGACCCAAATCCAACAGTTCTTGGTGTCACTGGACCATCAAAGAAAAAAAAAAATTTAAAAATAAAATTGCTTGTGCATGGTGTATGTTTGTAGACCTGATATTCAAACAGCCCAGGAGGATCAAGTTGGTTGTAATGCGTTAGAAGGTGTCTGAGGCGATGGGCGACGGTTTTATTTGCAAGTCACGAGTGGGAAGGTTGGGTCATTATTGGATGAGAGAATCAGATAACGGTGTACGAATTGGAAAAATGACATGGGGATATGGGGTGATTGACAGTTAAGTTAGTCTGAGAGAGAAGTGGGTTGGTTTAGCCAGGAGAGAGAATGCTAAAACCGCGAAGTCTTAATTGCGGTCTTGTAATCACCTGCCGGGTAGGTAGAGGGAAGACTGAGTCGGATGATGAGAGGCCGTGGATACAGGTTTTGACAAGGAAAACTCTGACTAATTACTAGGAAGGAATCCTTTACGTTGAGGGTGGCCAAAGCCTGAAACTGCTCCCCCTGTCAAATTTTGGAATTGCTGCCCTTGGAAATACTCCAAGCTTGACTGACCAGGGCCCTGAGAAAACTGACCTGGCTTTGGAGTTAGCTCTGCTTTGAGGCTGGAGCTGGAGTAGATTGTCCAGAGGCCCCTTCCAGCCTTAGCTCCTGTATGACTGGATGGGAATCTGCTTTGGTGTATTACTGCAAGAGGAGTAAAACTTGCCGTTTGCCTTCAGTTTGCTTTTGGCTTGATAGGTGAATAAATAAAGGAGTCGTTTCTGTGTCTGCACAAGCTATGCAGCCTGATTGTCCAATGAGACTTTGAATCTGGGTTAACTAATAGGATACGTACCCTTCCCTGAGCCCAAGAGTGAGGGACTTTCTGCAGTCACCTCTTCCACAGTCCTCCCAGTCATCTGGCTGATGGCAGTTCCAGGACAAGTGTACGCTGCTGTTTGGAAAGTAATCGGCAGAACTCGGGGATCTCGGGTCGTTAGGATTTTGCGGGCTCTTCCTAAGCTTAATTTTACTGTACTAGCAGATCTGACTGCCTTAGGTGTGAGTCAGAAGAATGAGAGAAAAGAAAGGGGAAGGGCCTAGGACTGAGCTAGAAATAATCCAAATTCCCCCAGTAGGGCAGCACACATAGTTTTTAAAACGTAAGTCTTCATACATACACAGTGAACACGTGCGTTGTATTTGATACTCTGAAAGCAGAGGTAGGCAGGGGTTATTGTTCCGGAGCGCTTAATGGCAGCAGGGTAGCTCCTGAGTTGGGTAAGTGATGGGGGATGTATTTATTTGGGTCTTCAGTCATTCAGTAGTGGTGCTTCTGAGATGGAGCTCGTGACTTCTTGGGAAACTTAATTTCTGAATCCTACCTGGAGCATTCAGTTTGTACGTTTCCGTGTAAAAAACCCAATTTCACTGAATGTAGCAAGGAAGGAATTGCAGGCTGGCCGTAGTGGCAAGTGTAACGTGGATAGAAGTGTTGCTGGAAAAAACTACCGACTTTATTGTCCGAACGTGATTCCAAATATTTGGTTTTATCTGTCAGGATAAGTAACTAGCTTTTTTGTTTGCTAGCAGGAGCGAGGTGGTATCCCCAAGCTATTTTTGCAAGGGGTTTCTCGATGGAGACGGTAGTCATGTGCTGTTTATTGCTGATTTTACAAGTATGAGATGTTGATGTTTTCTGGGTTTTTTTTTTGTTTCTCCTTCCTCCCCCAGGAGATGAGGGAGAGACTAAATCAAGGACTGTTCCAATGGAGGAGGAGGAAGATGATGATGATGACGATCCTGAGAATAGGTATGATACCATCCGTAAGGACGTAAAAAAGATTATAACACACCCTAGGCGTGGGCGCAAACCGGCGCAACGGAAGAGCAAGCAGGTTGTAAAAACCACGACTGCCTGCCTTGTAGAGACTCGCTCACGGGCTTCCCGCAAGTTTGAACAAGGGGCCAGAAAACAGAGGCCAAAATCCAGAAATGCAAAGAAAGCATTTAGAAGTGTTAACTAACACACCTTGCATAGGGTGTGTTATAAATGCACTGCAGCGCTGTCTGGTTCATGTTCCCACTGAAAGTGTGAGGTTTGTGACAAGTGTTTCACGCAGGCAGGTGAAAAGCTGCTTATGAGAAAATGTGACTTTGGGCTAGTTCTGTGGCTAGAAGGTAAAAAGTTGCATCTGTGCAGCGCTAAAATATCTGCAGATTGAACTTGGTTATTACTGTTACGTCTTTTGATTTTTTTTTAATTCAAACTCCTTTTTCTCAATAAAGAGAAAACACAGATGTGGAGATCACAGTGTTAGGTGTTTTCAGCTGTTAATTAAACTGAGTTTTAATCCACTAAAGAATACCCAAAGTTACTCATATGGTAGTTAAGGTCCCGATTCTACAAACACTGTCCATGGGCTCGACTGCTCTCAAAGAGACTAATTACACATTTTAAGTCTTTGCGTAGATATTTTCAGAAATGCGGATTATATGTGTTTCCAGTTCAATAAAAATGAATCTCCAAGACACAGATAGTGAAGACACACTGGTTTTTAGCAGTACCCTTGTAGTTGTCAAAATCAGCCTGGCTAGAAAATGGCAAAGCTTCGTTTCCTAATGAGCGAACACCCAACGTGAAGTACTGCTCAGTTACGAGCCACAGTTTCTTTTTGGAAGTTATCGTAGTTAGACTAAAGAGTTGTTCAACAAATTTTTATACAGTATTTCAGAAACTGATTTTTTTTTTTTTTTTTGCAATATGGCATGTGTGGGACCAGCTTTATAGCTTTGCACAGTTGCTGATGGAGTTTTCTTCTGCTTCTGAGCCTTCCTAGTTTAGAATATGGTATCTTTGTGTCACAGAGTTGTATGTTCTGGTCTGTGGCTGAAGTAAATCTGGAAAACACTGTTTGATATCCGTTATGGACCTCAGTTTGGCATTAAAATATTGCTGCTGATGTAGTTCTTGCTTGTTTTCAGTCATCCAAATTAAGGAAAACAGCTTTTAAAGGATGCTCCTTAGGGACTCGACAGCACAGGGGTCATAAGCAGAACATACAAACATTGGTGATAGAAGATTTTTTTTTTTTTAAATTGTGCTTTAATTCCTGTTCTAGTTTGAGTTTGGGTTTTTTTTTCTTTTTTGATTTGTTTCTAAGTTTGTTTCCGATTGAAGCCAATCCACTTTTGTCAAAGTTCAGTGTTAACAGGACAAATGTTACTGGTGGATCTGAATTATTCATTTCAGAGTTATGTTGGGAAATGAATTAACCCAACTGATAACAAATCAGTAATGTGATTTTGGGGTTTAAAAATCAGTTTCTGTGCTTTATTTTTAAGCTGAATCTTTGTTGAAGTTTTTATTTAGGGAATATTTTGAATATATATATATGTGAGATGGGGATGAGCAGTTTTGTCAGCCCTCAGACATGTTGACTAGTAACTGCAGTCTGGTTTTAAATTCACCGTGCATTGTACCTGGCACCAAAATCAGATATATATATAGTTATATATATATATATATAAAAATGTAAAAAGACAGAACAAATTTTGAGAAGTTAAAAGCTTGTTCTTCTGTTTACTCGACACAAAGTGTTTTAAATAGTTTGCCTCCTATTCAGCTAAGTTGCCTATTTTCTTCCCGGCCAAAGAGAGTGTGTAGTACTTCCCGGGTATTTGCAGTGTGGGAACTCTCATGTTTGCAAGTCTCTAGTTTAGATGTTCTGTTATTCGCATACCTTTGGATGTGCATGACGTGAATAGCCTGGAAATCATCTTTTGCCAAAATGCAATAACCAAGTGGGTCGTAATATGACATGCAGTGCTGTACACTTTCATCTTCTGTTGTGTAATTCTCTACTATTGGTCCTTCTGATCTTTTCAATGGTACTGTTTAATATGTTTGCAGTAGTTTTGTTTATTAAGAAGTTAATAGTGTATTTGATGCAGAATGCCTTTAAGTATTTGATGGTTGCAATAAATTTTTGTAAAACGTTTTTCTTGTCCAAGCATTTAATTTAATACAACTCCTGACAGCTTGAAAATCTGACTGTTTCGACAAAGAGAGCACAGTATTTAGAACAAGGTCTTTGGCAGTTTTTGCTGTATTTTTTTTAAAGCTGTATGACATTTCATCCAAATACTTGTTTATTCAAATATATTCTAAATTTTTTAGCAGCGTACCGGCGGCCTGTGTAATTCAGTCGTGCTCTAGCTGGAAGAACAGTGGCTTTTATTAGCCACGTGAAAATATCCTCCCCCCACTCTCCACAAAGGCTTGTTTTGGGCAACCTCATTTCTACCTGTAGTTAGTAGGTATTTAAGAACACTGCACGCGAGTTGGTACAATGTAGTTGGCAATAATACATTGTGATAATGAACTAATATTTAAAATGATGAGTTTTTAAGAAGACAAGAATATTTTTACGGGGGTAGCACTGTCTGGCCAAGATTTTTGACGAGCTAGAAATGAGTCCATCAGATGGACACTCTCAAACTCATGGACAAGAACGGTGCAAATGATCGCGTGGACTTAACTCCACGTCACGAGAGGCTGCACCTGCAGTTCCCTATTTTGCTGAAATGTCGGAAGGGTAATTTAGAGCAGTCTCTGGGTAACTTCCAGTTTGTCTCTCTCTTTTTTTTAAAGATGTTTTCTTTTAGTATAAGTTTAAAAAAATACTTAAGATCCACTTCATAATTTGTGAATGTGCATTGTTGGTGTCATTCCTACAAAGGCAAAATCTATTTAAATGCTGATTTGTGTAAACTTAGACATGCATACTGTTATTTTATTCCAGAGTTGGTTTTATGTGTTCTGTAAAGCACTGGATAAATACATGTTGGGAAAATGCCCTTTTTACAAGTCTCAGAATATGTTTAGGTGAGAGGGAGTGGTACTAGGCAAGGAATGCTCAAGGTCACAGCAGATCAGTGGCAGAAATGAACGAAATGCAGGGGTTTGCGGGTTTTAAAATGATTTTATTTGTTACTACTTTGTGCTGGAGGTCATACAGCTCTCCTGCTTCTTAACTGACATTGTTTGTAGCGTTCAACTGTTATATCTGATTGGCCACTCATGTCTTTTATGTCCCTGACCCAAGTAAATATTATGATATCTTTTGATTTTCGTGGGTTTCTCTGGAAGAATATGAGTGGGGAAGTTTCTGCACTATCTTAGCTTATTTTTCTTGGTACTTGCAGCTTGACCTTAATGCAAATATTAAAACGTTAAAGCTTAACCTATGGGAGATCTTTGGCTTAGAAACCTGGACACTTTTAAGTGGGTTTGTATCTTAAAAGAAAAGTGTGATAACATTATCCTGAGCCACGTATAATTTAATTTAAAATCAGCGTCAAGAGTCTGGTACTCCATGTATTCTAATTCATATGAGCCATTTGTTGCATCAGTTATTTCTCAGAAGCACTTACAAGACTCAATCTGTTTGGTTCTAATATTGCTTAGGTTTTTAATTCCTATGGGATATGTAGTTACAATAATTCCCTTAAATTCTGTATGGTTTAGCAATGTCTTACAGTTTTAGCCTAACATCTAACGGCAGAACGTGTTGAAGAGAAAGTACCTTCTTTCACTAAGCAAACAGTTCCAACTACCTCAGTTTGCTTCAAGGTGCTTGAATCTTTATCCTGGCTAAAAACTACGTCCAATTTTCTATCTCGGAGTAAAAAGCAGCAACATCTTAGTATTATTGTAAATAATTAAATAGAAACAAGTAAGTTCACCCAGTCTGGTTGGTGACTGGTAGGAAAAGAACCGCACGTTCTCTTTATGGGTGGTAGGTTTTGTGCGCGGCAATTTGAGGTGAACGGCACATTGATAAATGTTGTCTTGTGTTAAGAACCAAAGTCAACCTTTGTTTAAAAGTACAGGATATAAATTTTCAAAGGTGACTTATCTGAAAGGTAAGTATCGTTATCCATGCACGACTTGTGTTAACTTTGCTAATGGGGCTGAAACCAAAACACGGCGAAGGCAGCATCGCTAGGCAGTGCTTTCAGGAGTAAGTTTTTAAATTAGTATTTCTCCTTTGTTTCCCCTCTTCCAAAGCAAAGAAAATGTTCTTGAAGAAAATGTTCTTCTGACCATAAAGAGATGGAAGAAATAGAGTCTTAATTGCTTACGTAAGGGCCTACTTATTCCTCTTGCTCTTACACATGATGTGGCGGGTTTAAAAAAAACAAAAAATTTTAAAAAATCCCTTTTCTAAATCCTCTGGAAGGATCTAATGCAAAAACATTTGGAAGAGGATGTTACTTATCTGTGGACTTCAGTAAGTTTTGGTTAGGTTCTGCTGATACATATATATGCAATTAATTATATGGGGTTCTGCTGATATATATGTGCAATTAAAGCTTGCTGAGAGTGCTGCATTTTAAAGTTTTAATCAGCTCTTTCTCTGCAAGCCATTCCTCCAAAGAGGGGAAGGTGTGGTGGATGCCGATGGATAGTCTGTGACTCACTGAGCAATCTTGTTTAATAACCTATATTGCTTCCATCTTTTGATAATAACTGAATATACTTCAGTGTTACAATTATTTTGGAAAATGGACCACCACTCAAAAAAGACAAAATACTGTATGAAGTGTTAGGAAAGATACCTTGGAAAAACTCCCTTTGAAAAGTACCTTTGGTTTAGGGACATGTTGTCTGCTGAAAAATGGAATGCAGGTTCTTTAACATCTATTTTACAGTGCTACGTGAAGGTAACAACTTGTTTTTCCTAATGTGTAAGAAGCTGCACTTGAGAGATCCCGGCTCCATTTCCAAGCCTAGGGTGTGATTCAGTTTCATGGGGCTCAAACTATGGACTGGTATAAACTTTCCCATTCTGAACTGTCTACACAGAGTATATGTTAATTCTCCTGAAAGGCAAGACAGACTAGATTTGCCTAGAAAAAAAATAAATTAAAAAAATATGACAGCCATGGAATGAAAGCTGCAGTATTTCTGATATTTATATGAGAAAGGCTTAATTTCATTCTTTCAGGACTTTTTCCCCCTGGATGTACAAGTTCTCAGCTAAGTCCACTCTTTATTTTCCTGTGCTTTTGACACAGCGGTTAATATTTTGCCTTGCAGAGCATCATATAAGATTTTTTAAAGTTTTTTTTTATGTTGCAAGGGCATGTAAAGAAATCATTTTTCCATAGTAACTTCTTGTACGTTAGCTGAAAACTTTCTTGTGCTGAAATGAAACTGAGAAGCTGAGCAAACACTTGGTGGAAGAGGATATAAGATCGTAATTTCGCTTTAAGGTTCAGGTCCCATAATGTTCGATAAAAGTGTGTATGTATGTACACGTGTATTTTTTTTTTGCTGTAGTTGCTCTGAAGCAAATGTTTGTAGTTACACAAGGGACTCTTTGACACTTTTGAGGCACTTTTAATACCAGTTCAGCGCAAGACATCCTGAATTGCTTCAATCACTGCAGCAGGATGGGCCCAGGCAGTTAGAAGGGTTGAAGGCAAGCCTTGTAGAGATAGGGTAACACTTTCCTATTATTTTTTAGCATTTATTTTTAACCTGCGAGTTAACGTGCGTATCGCAATCATCTTTTTCTCCTTGTTGAAAATGTGCATTCGGCTTTTAAAACTCCTGTTTGCAGATACGCCAGGCAATCAGATTCAGTGCCTCGGGAAATGAATCTCACGGATGAAAATCGAAGAAGCATGAGACCTGTTTTGAGGGGGGAATGGTTTCAGTATTAGGATTTGGTCTGCAGCATCCATCACCTTCTTGTTACAGTTAGAATCGGTGTGCGTGCCCATCCCAGAACTGACCAGAGCCCAGCCAAACAGACCAGGAATAAATTAAAACGTGCATTTCATAGCTTGCTGGAAAGCATGAAACCTCTTCTTAAAGAGGCATTATACAGGTTTCACTTTTAAAAGCAAGTTAACACGTTATGTTTAACATGAAATTTTTGCTGATACATCCTGTCTTACCACAGTGATTTTTCATGTGTCTCTCTTTGCTCAGCTTTCACCCCCTTTTTTTGAAGTTCTGAATGGTGTAGGATTACGCTTGTCGTTCGTACATTTACTTAAACAATGGAATAAACAGTTTTTTCTGTTTTGCTTCAAAGAATTGCCAAGAAAATGCTTTTAGAAGAAATCAAAGCCAATCTTTCCTCTGATGAGGATGCATCTTCAGATGAAGAATCGGATGAAAGAAAAAAGAAAACTGGAAAGCAAAATGAAAACGCGGGAGATGATGGTGAGCACCAAAAAGCATCTGGGAAAAAGCGATGCTTGAGCGCCTGTCATAATTTCAAAGGTCACTGGGGAAAATTATAAAGTTTTTATCAGCTTTCAACAAAAAAAAAGCACCATCGATATTGATAGGTAGTTGCCCAATAGAGACCAGCGTATGTGAGGATTATCATCTCTTTTACGCTTACAACTTGATGTTAATAGTCTGGGGTTTGTAACCAGAAGTCCTAGGGGTTTGTGAGAAATAATCTATACAGAATAGCAAGTACCTGAGAGAGATTTGACTGATGTGTACAGTCCTTGGAACACACATTCCAAGTGTTCAGCGGAAAATACTTAAAATTTGAGGGAGCAGTGTTATATTGTTGCTTGTAATTGCCTGGAAAAGCACAGGACGTAGCCTGAATCAATTCAGTTTTTAATTCCTGCCAAATTTAAGTAAGAAAGTGACCGATATGCGTATTATACTTGCTTATCTCTGACAGAAGAGAATGAAACAGAAAGTGACCGATATGCGTGTTGTACTTGCTTATCTCTGACAGAAGAGAATGAAAAAGAAGATAATTCTGAATCTGATTCAGAGGAAGAGGAATCCAAGAAGCCTAGATACAGACACAGGCTGCTGAGGCACAAGCTGACAGTGAGTGACGGAGAATCTGCTGAAGAAAAAAAGGTGAAACCGAAAGACAAAAAAGAAGGGAAGCGCAGAAATAGAAGGAAAGGTACGTAATGCACATGTTTTCTGTCATAAAAAATATGTACTTCCATAAAATAAGCCCAAAGCATCTCAGAACGGAGACCTGAAATTGTAATTTTAAATTCTCTGTGAAAACTTCCTTGTGTATTAAATCTAGAACTCTTAGCTGTGTTTGATAAGGAGTTTTATTTTAAATGTTGACTACAAATGCAGCGCTCTCCGCTTTACTGTATCCTCTGAATTGGCTTAGGCCTACCGAGTGTTAGAATTTTAACCTGAAATAGCAGAAGCAAGCTCAATATGTCTAATTTGTGAAAAACACTCTTGTCCTTTACGTGTCTCGTTTACCTGGGCTGTTCATGGGCTTTTGCGCGTGAGAAATTTCTCCTTCTTGGAGCGGTTGCAAGCTTTAGTCGAACACCAGATGGCACTGTGAGATAGTGCTTGACTTGGATTTTTCCTTTTCGTTGTGACATACAAGAACAAAGACTCTGTCAGCATCTTGTGTTTAATCTGTCTGAGCAGAGGAGGGGCGCAATGGGACAAATTTGTTGCCTTCCTTCTTGAAAACTCCCATTTTATTTCTTTTACCTGAGTGTATATTCTTACTTTTCCTCCCTGACGGGATGATAACTCCACCAACAATACTTCTTTCAAGAAAAGAGATTCTAAATTACAGTGGCAGCGTGCGAATAAGATGCAGCCACACTAATTCTCACGATTCTTTAGCATCTTTTAAGTTTGCTTGTGTCATGTAGAACAATATACTTAATTTCAGCTTGCTGGTTTGGGGCCCGTGCATAAAGACCTCGAGTTTTTGGTATGATATTTGGTATGATCAGGACTCAGCTAGCGCTTACACCTAAACTTTTCTACTCTGTGCCCCTTATATTGCTGGTGCTTCCTATTAGTGGGTTTAATGGGTCCTATACTGGCCAAAATGAACTTTTTGTCGATCTTAAACAGCTTGTTGTGTAATTAGAAGGGCTAACTCTGCAATAATATTCAACGTGATGTCGTGCTTCATTTTTAAAGTGAGCAGTGACGATTCAAATGACTCCGAGTTTCATGAATCTGCAGTGAGTGAGGAAGTCAGCGAGTCTGAAGATGACCAGCGTCCAAGAACAAGGTATAAATAAAAGTTGGCTATGCTTGTTCTGTGCTTGGTTTTTGGTTTTGAATAGTGAAGTGTAGGGAGGGAGATGGTAAAAGTTAAAGACTTTGGATCAGTCCTTCAGACCTTTGGTGGCATTTGTCTGTAATTTGGTATCTGCTGATCAGCTTCACGGTGAATGTGAGAATTTGGAATTTCTACCGAAGTATGTGGCATACAGCAACTTGATGAGCCAGTGTGAAAGGAAGATTAGCAAAAAAATGAGCAGGTTTATGCCAGATACATCGATGTTCGTTGAGGAATTGTAAACTGCAGTAGAAAACTAATACTTAACCGTTCTGAGAATCTTCAGGGTTATCTGGAATAAACTCTATGTGTACAGATTGAGGAATTGTAAACTGCAGTAGGAAACTAATACTTAACCGTTCTGAGAATCTTTAGGGTTATCTGGAATAAACTCTATGTGTACAGTGAGTTGAGGGGAAGGAAGGAACTTGGAAGTAAACCCCTGGTTGCACAGGAGGAGTATATATTCTGTGAATTAGCAGTGTGGTTCATGCACCTTTTTATAACTGTTTTTCAGTGAGGTAATGAATTACTAATGTTGACCAGTAATACTGCCTTTTTCTTATTTTATTTTTTTTTTATTTTTTCCCATTTGTAGATCTGCCAAGAAAGCTGAGGCGGAAGAAAACCAGCGCAGTTACAAACAGAAAAAGAAACGAAGGCGTATAAAGGTTCAAGAGGATTCTTCCAGTGAAAACAACAATAAGGTACTATATTGTGTTTTGAATTAATAAATGGATCAAGGAGTTCTGGCCCTTCTGACAGCTGCTTGGGGACTTGGGTGTCTCAGCTCTGTGCAAAGTAAAACATATTTTTTCTCAGCGTTAATTCAGTGCTAAAATTTGTAAAATGGCACCATTGTGGAGAAAAACAACATTTAACTAAAAGTGTTTTCTGTCTACATCTTGATGAGAATGCATGATGTTTCTTAAGTAAATGGATTTTTTTAGACTAAATGTAGACAATAGCACAAATAGTAGGTTCCCAGTATTAGGGTTTCTTTTTCTTGTGTGGAGCAGGTGACAGCTGATCTCATCTAGCACCACCAGAGCAAAAAAAGTTTTCTATTAGTAGTTATTAGTTACTATCAGATGGTGACAGTCCCTTTGGTACTGCTTATCTTCGGTAACTCAGAATACGTCATAGTTAAGGTGGCACTTCTTCTGTCATGCTAGTTAACCTGTTTGTTTAAAAAGTATCTGAAATTTTGGGGAGCTTGTCTAAAAATGAAGGGGTTTCTGGTGCATGATGTAATTTTCTTGCTAACAGTTGTTTAATTTCTGACAGAGTAATTCTGAGGATGAGGACAATGATGACTCAAAATCTCCTGGAAAAGGCAGGAAGAAAATAAGGAAAATAATTAAAGATGATAAGCTTAGAACAGAAACACAGAATGCACTTAAAGAAGAAGAGGAAAGAAGAAAACGTATAGCAGAAAGAGAACGGGAGAGGGACAAATTGAGAGAGGTGTGTTTCGTTTTCTTTGCAAACTTCTAGGAAGTTGAATTGTTGGTGATGTTTAAGACAACGTATTTCTGCCGCAAATTAAGTTTGAAATTGGTTACGTGTAGCCTCTTAAGCCACAAGCTTTATTTTTAGTTTCCTGCAGGTTAACATTGGTAAGTTATATTTGAGACTACTGAAATCTCTAGAAAGCTGTTTCAGTTGCCTACTGCCCTACTTTCCATGGGGAAAAGCACTTTCCCAAACTAAATTGTGGTGCATAGTGAAGAATTTAAGGTTTCTCTTAGAATTTTGCTAAAGCTGGTATCTGTCAAGTGCTTGGAATTACTCATATGGGAAGGAATCCTTTGACACCCTGTTTCTGCTCGTAGGTGATAGAGATAGAAGATGCTTCACCTCTGAAATGTCCCATTACAACTAAGCTGGTTTTAGATGAAGATGAAGAAACCAAAGAACCGTTAGTGCAGGTTCACAGGAGTATAGTTACCCGACTGAAACCACACCAAGTAGATGGTAAGGCAAGAGAGAGAGAAATTTTCCTGTTGATTTGTTTTCCTCCACGGGCAGAGCACATGATGCAAGCTGAATTAGAGTTGTAAGAAAAACTCCTTGGTAGGCAAATGCCAGAAAGTTGGGTTTAATGCTTTATTTTTGGAACAGCTGGATGAAAGTAAGTGAGATTGGCAATACATAGTTGTCTTTGAGAAGCAAAGAACTTCAGAAATGTGCGGTTGCAAGGGTCCTCAGAATCATCTCCCCACGCTGAGGCAGAGTCAAATGTTTCCTCATTCTGGTGAGGAGTTAGTGCATTCACGTTTTACAGTTCTATTTCTGATGAAGAAGGAGAAAAGGAGAATCCTTTATAAGCATTTATTTCACAGCTCATTCTGTTATTTTAAATTCTCAAAGTTCACGATCTACAACCTTGCTGTTTTAGTAAGAAATTTCTGGATTTACTTCAGCTGTTAAAGAGAGCTACCCCAAACCAGGCACAGCAGTCACCTTGAAGCCTTATCTGTGCCGAGTGTCGTGTAGTAGAATACAACTTCCCAATAAGTATGTTGCAACAAACAAACAAAAAACCCTGCCCAGCAGACCCTCTTTAGTGAAAACTGAGCATATAATTAAGATCATCCCACATACGACCCATTGGACGGAAATGAATCAGTAATTATCCTGAGACCTGCTTTTCTGAGGGTAACTGTGATCTTACAGGAATCACACACATCTCTTACTGGGTGAACTTTACTAAAATGAATGTTTAATAAGAAAATTTTCAATAATTTCCTTCAGGTGTTCAGTTCATGTGGGATTGCTGTTGTGAATCCGTAAAAAAAACAAAGTCATCTCCTGGCTCTGGATGCATTCTTGCTCACTGTATGGGTCTGGGGAAAACGTTACAGGTAAGCAATGAAAGTCGTCTTATTTTCTCGTCTGTAGCTTGCTCTCAAAAGCTGATCCAGCAAAAAGCAATTTTAATGACTTTCAGAACGGGGTAAAGCTGTTTCCTAGGCAGTGGCTCAGGGAAAGTTGCTGGAGGAGAACGTTCTGTAAAGAGATCTCGAGAAAGAAGTTGTGTTTTGCAGTAGACAACTGTGAAAGCTCTGAAATGTGCTTGTGTGTTCTGCGCTTCTAAAATATCTAGAATTCAATTAAGCAGTCGCTGATAGACGCACGTGTAGAGGTCATATTTGTAAGTTATGTGTAGCTCCCTCGCAACTTGGAAGAAGACACAGCTCATAGGAGACAGGCCTCGGGACCCAATCTTTCTGAGTCAATTTAGTAATTGTAAGCAGGTGGTGGTTTTTACCGTCTTCCTCATTCAGGTGTTGCTCTTTAAACTGCCTGTTTTCCTCGGTGGTTTTTCAGTCCTTTGTGCACTGAAAGTAGAGGTTAATCAGGTTTTTGTTTGACTTTTTTGTTTTGTTTGGTTGGGTTTTTTTCTGCCACACCTTTAGTGTCTGAAGTCAAATGCTTTTCGTTTTAATATAAACAATATTTTGCTATGATGTAGACTCTCAGGGGTTGAGGGACAGGGGACATTTGTTTTCTGTTTCAGTAATTGTCCATCTGTGCATTCATATTTTTGGGTTGTGCCTCCCAGTTAAGACCAGAAACTTTCTTTGCCTTGGCAGTTACTCCAGGGCCTACTTTGAAACTCTTTTTCCCTTCTCTGTTTCTTTTCTTTGACTTTTCAATTCTTTGCATCATGAGATCTTCAGGTTGAAGCTTTCATTGTCACTTCAGCTTACGTTCCTTCTCCATTACACTGCTGAAGTCTGCTTTGTCAAAATCTTTAAAACAGAATATCGTAGCATTCCTTAAAAAAAAAAGGTTTCCATATTTCTTAGTCTGATACGAGCGGCTCTTCTGCTGGGTTAAAAGTGCCCAGTGAACGACTTACTGTTTCTATTAGTCTTTAAAATCTGAACCTCAGTCCTCATCTTAAAATGTTTCTTCTGAAACTCATCACCCGAGGAGCTGCTGTAAAACAACGCACATGGCTCTTTGTCTTGAGCCTCTTAAAATCATCGCGGGCCTGCAAAGGAGCTTATGCCCTGGACCTTCAAAAGAGGTAAAAGATCAAAACCAGTTCTCTTGAATTCCCTACGTCTCGATATTCATGCTGGTACCTTTTCAGATTAACCGGAAGTGTTCAATTCCTTCTGTGTGTGCTTGTTTCCAAGTACCCGTCTGCATAGATTTTGGTTTTGCGTTTAGCCGGGTGTAGCATCACCCCAAACACTGACAGCAAAGAACTGAGCTGAGCTGAGCTGCTGCTCTTGCTGCTCTCCAAGAATTCCTTTAGCAGAAGTCATTTGATGGAAGAGCCTTGCCTTCTGATTCTGGGAAAGGGAAAGGGAAGTTGTTGACAAGTCTGAAGAAGAAAGTTGAGTGACCACCTTACCTGCGCTTGGAAAGGCCCGCAGAGGAGCACCTCAGTCTCCCTGTTGTTGTTCTTTATTGCTGCTGTGTTTCCTCATTTCTGGAGGAGGGACATACTCCTGCATTTTTATCAGGACAACTGACTAGTGAGTTTAATTACTGTCAACCGTTTTGATCACTGGCTTCAGCTAAATCCTTAAAAAAACCCATCTTGCAGCTTCTGCAGATGTTGGAATTGAGCAGAACTGATTTCAACTCGCGAGCAATCAGGGCCTTCCTGTGCCAGGAGCGGTTCTTCGCCAAGAAGTCGCTTGGCAGATCTGCTGAGTGCTTCGGTGCATTTGTGACTGACGGGTCTAGACTGTGTTGGCAGCCAGCACTTGTGCAACACTTCATTGTAAATTCTTTCTTCATGTCCTCCAAATACGGATGGGCTTTACTCATTCCCTGGAGCACAGTCTCGTTAGTGTGGTGATGATGGTTCTCAGAGAGGTTATTTTCTTCCCACAGTGAGGATGGGATCCTCAAAGCATCTATGAGGAAATGCCATTTCAACCATCCTCTTCCATCTCGGTCAGTTGTGGTAGAAGCTTCCCCACTGGGTTGGGAAGCCTGACCTGAAGACTCGCGATCTGTTCATTTGTAGAGAGGTCAGTATATCGACGGGCTGGAATTCCAACCTGTCTCCAAGATGTCTCAACATTTTTGTGCCGAAGCTAGATTCGTAGTCTGCAAGTGCCAACAGCCAACTTCTACAACCCGGCGAACAAAATGCTGTGAGACCCTGGTGAGGGGCAGTTAGTCTTTGATGGGGGGTCTCGAGTTTTTCTCCGTAGTGCTCACATCTGCCTGGGGAGTTGGTGTTCGGTGTAGTCAGCACACCCGGTTGCTGCCAGGTAGCAGACTTGGCTTGGAGTCTGTCGCCGTTATTTTTAGAGACTTGAAACATGCTCCAGGAGAAGACCTTCAGCAAAATCTAGCAGGAGCAATCTGTCATTCTTTGCCAATGTTAGCTCCGCCTTACTGAGTTGGATTGCTTCCTTAGTCTGGTGTCTTCCCTCGAAACCATTGCTGCCAAGGGTTCTTCAGAAAGTGAAGTTAAATGAGAAATATCTAGTCCTGCTCTTCTCTGGCCTAATTCAGACGAATTTTATTTAGGACTTTCTGATCCTAAGAATCTTCTTTCTTGACCTGCAAATTGCAGGATATCGTCCTGGGGCGCTTAGGCTGGCGAAGCATCTTCAGATTCTTTAGATCCCTTGCCTTCCTCTGCAAAGAACTGGCTCAAAGGAAGCTTGGCTTCAGTGGTTTCCTGATTTGGGAGGTTTTCCTGAGGTTACAGGGGTATTTTTTGAGTATCACAGAGCTGTAGGTGATCAGAGGGACCGTTGGCATTCACTGGATGTAGCATTTAGGTAAAACAAGCTGCAGTTTTGGTTGGTTGTGCCCACGATGTTTTCCAGAACCGCAGCTGCAGATTTGCTTTGTTTATGGAAATCGTAGTGACGCACGCAGTATTTTGACAATCTGCAGTCGAAGAAGGTTTTTATACACGTTTTGAAAATCACCTTTGAGGAGTGTATTTTCACATGCTTAATTCTAGCTTAGGTGTTGGGGTTCTTCAGGATTTACTTACACCTTTTACTGGAGATTTGCGATGTTTTTTGTGCTTTAATGGAGCAATCCTGTCTAGGTAGCTTAATCTTAAGCAGTGAGTTGAACAAATAAAAAAAAAGTGTTTAAACAAGGTTGTTGTTGGTAAGTTCTGTAGGCGAATATATACTTACATGGTTTTTTTCCTAGTATTTAATACTTGGTGATTTTTTTGGCATTTTGTCTCTTTTTTTCCTCTTGCAGGTAGTAAGTTTTCTTCACACAGTCTTGCTCTGTGACAAGCTGGATTTTCGGACAGCTCTGGTAGTGTGTCCACTGAACACGGCCTTGAACTGGTTGAATGAGTTTGAAAAATGGCAAGAAGGTCTAGATGACGATGAAAAACTAGAGGTATAAGGCTCAAAAAGAGTTTTTAGAAGTTAAATAGCTGAAGGATTTACATAACTGGGAAGCATCACCACTCAAAATACAGGTTAAGGAATGCACTTTAAGCATATGAAAAATCCACCTGCCCTAATAAGCCTTAGGTATTTAAAAGTTACATCAGTACATTGGTATTTTAAGAGAAATTCAAGCGTTATTTCTCCCCCTTTGAAAGGTCTGTGAACTAGCAACTGTGAAACGCCCTCAAGAGAGAAGCTATATGCTCCAGCGCTGGCAAGATGATGGAGGTGTGATGATAATAGGCTACGAGATGTATCGTAATCTTGCACAGGGCAGGAATGTGAAGAGTAGAAAACTTAAAGAAATATTTAATAAAGCTTTAGTTGATCCAGGTAAGTGGAAATTAATAAAAGTATGGATTATATGCATTGCACTTCCTGGTTTGTGTGTGTGAGTTAAGTAATGTTGCAAACGGAAGCCCGCTGGGCAAATAGTGATAAGCAATATTGTCAGTAAGATCTATCAGATTTTCTTTGGTTTTGCTGAGTTACAGAACAGTTTTTTCTATTAGATCAGATACAGAAATGAGCACAGGAATATATACGGGATGGATATCTTTTTTGTTAGCTTTGCTTTCTTTGCACGGCAATTTGAAGCAACTGTTGGGAACCTAAGGTTAGTTTAATCTGCTCGTTTGTTACAACCACAAGCTGGTTTATCCACAGAAGTCTAGAGTCAGAGGGGAGCAACTACACATGGTAAGTAGTTGAGGATGTGCCTTAGAAGTGGGAACAAGTGAGTGTTAGTTAAGTGCTCATGAATTGATTTGCAGGTAAAGCAATTAGTTTTTCAGTCTTGAGAAACAGATCCTGCTTATAGGCATCGTTCTGTTCTACTTTTAAACCTCCTTAGACAATTTAGGAAAATGTGATAGAGCAGTGTTTGTGATTAGGTTACTGATTTTTATAGATTTAATCGATTTCAGAAACTGCAGCGCATCGAGCCGTGTAGGTTTGGAATAATTTCAGCTGAACATGGAACGACTTTTGTTCTCTTGGTTGGCAGGATGGAATCAAATGGTTTGGAAAACTAACCTTGAAATAACTCTGTAATTATATTCTTCAAATCTTTCTCTATTTTAACTAATTCCGAAAAGACAGAAATGTTCATCTGTTGTTACCTGGTACTTGTGGAGACATTTGGATTGGCTAAATCGATCTCACGACGACCGTTATTTGTTTCTTGCTGACTTTGTGACTCACAGCACTGGCGATGTAGCCAGGCTGCCAGGAAGAGAGTCACGGAGCTATGTGCTGGCTTACTGCACTCGCTGCGAATAGGAAAACCTTGGCCTGTGGGAGCATTTTTTTTGATTTAAGAAGTTGCAAATGCGGTATCTGAGCGATAATTTAATGATAAATCTCTGGTTCAAGTGAATACCGCTAAGGTAGACGTATTCGATAGCAGAAGCTTGTATTGCGCGGCGAGCTGCAGAGGAGGGGAGAGGGAAGGTTTAGCCAAAGTTTATGGGTGGAGAAGTGATTTCATTAATTAACTAGCTCTGCTCTATGAAATAATGGCAGGATTATATATGCGTGCAGAGCGACAAATGGTTTCCCATAATGCTTTGGGCAACTGATGAAATGCCCATCGGTTTATTGATAGCTGTTGCGCTTTGCTTGCAGCATTTCAATATCTTGGTATTTCTTCACTTGTTGCTCCTAATAAAAATTCCATTACTGTTTAACTTGGAAACTGCTCTTTAATTGGCAGCTGTATAAAGCAGGCTTAAGTTCTTGTAGGCTTCAGAGGAGAACTCTGTATGTGTCTGTATATCTGTCGCTGAGTGTGTTTTATGTATATTGGTTTAATAACGTGCAAGAAGATGATCTTTGAGGAAAGACTGAAGGAGCGAGGCTTTTTAGCCAAGAAAAAAGACAGCTCAACTGACGAATTTTACGTCATGTAAGAGCTAAAAGACAACTGTTACCAGTTGTGTTTTTCCATCAGTTGGGGAAAGGGCAGAATTTATCCTTGATTTGCAGTAGTTTAAATTAAATAGTATTGCACAGTGTTTTCCCGAAAGAGAGAGGTCATGGAGTTGCCTCCTTCTGTCAGGGAGGGTATGTCCCGTTCTCATAACTCTTATCTCGGATGAAATGATCCCCTGAGGTGTCTTTTACATTCCTTTATTGTATTTTCAGAAATGTTCTCTCCATAATGAATTGCTTTTATGTTTTTGGAGAATGAGGGAAAAACCCCACAAATTTATGAAAATCCCTGCCACTGAATCGTAGCCAAAATATTCGTTCAAGATATCAATGCTACGTGCCTGCCAAACCACGAACAATTTTACTACGATAGTTTTTTCATATTTTAACTATCACTCACCTCTTCTAAACATGTTTTTGAGGTGGATTTTCTTTGTTTTAACTGACCACTTTGTGTTAATGAGTCACATTCTTTACTGAAATCGATTTCTGGGGTATATACACCACTTATCATTAAGACTTCATTATCCTTCTGCTCTAGTATACGTCGATTCTGATTGTACACATGATGTCCTGGGCCAAATCTGTTTCTGCGAATGATATTTTAATGTGCAGGCTGTCACATCTGGCGGGGAGATGTTGCAAATCCTTGCAAATCAGCTCCAGGAAACGGCTCCAAACAATCTCAGTAGTACTGAGCACAGCATCAACAGCTTGCTCCTTCAGGAAATACTGGAAAGAGAAAAGATCTGTCGCTCTTAAGTGACTCTCGGTGTTTTTGCGTGCTGTCAAAACTGGGGAAGGTACAAAAGTCATGAAATAATGCGGGAAAATGTTTCTGTGGCAGGTGTGAAAATTCAGAAAGAAGTAGGCTTGGACAAGTCTAGGTGTGTTTGCAGTTGATATGTGGATTTTCATAATGTGTCTTTTTAACCAAGTCTACGAGACATTTTTTTTCCCTCCTCGCTAAAAAATGTCTTCTTGATTCCTCTTCTGTTAGTGTGTGTAAAACATTCATTGAAGTTGCTAGTTGGATCCTAGAATATGTTTTATTTCTCCTTTTAAGGAAACAGTTTCCAGAAATTGCACTGTTTGCCCCCGTTGGTAATGATTTTATCTTAAAATTAAAAATGACCTGTTACCTGATGACTTTGGTTTCCTTTGGAACTGGCCAAGCACCAGTAGGTGGCAGCTTGAGCTGGAGTTAAAGAACAGTTTTACAGAGTTGTGACAGGGTGAATGGACACACTAAGCTGCACAGATAGATAATTTCTCTAGGAATATATTGCAAAGCTGTATTTAATCCTTTCCTTGAAGACCTTACAAGGAGCAACCTGGAGTTTATTAGAATGGCTACTGTGAATCACGTTCAAGGGCTGAGTGACAGCCTTTAACCGTGCTTTAAAAATACAGACAGAAAAAAAAGTTTGAAAACCCCACCCTAATAACAATAACAGAAGAAATTTTGGATTCTTTAGGCTACCGGTTTCATTGTCGTTAGAAAAGATGGACGAGATCTAATGTGATTTCTTTCCAGGCCCCGACTTTGTTGTTTGTGATGAAGGGCACATACTAAAAAATGAAGCATCTGCTGTTTCTAAGGCAATGAATTCTATTCGATCGAGGAGAAGAATAATTCTTACAGGAACGCCGCTGCAGAACAATCTTATAGAATGTGAGTAGTTCTCTGGTTTAAGAGGTGTTTGTTTCTTTGAGTATGCTTTTACCTTTCAGCAATATTTAGTTTGATTAGAAGACAAGAATTTGAATCTCTTTGCTAGGTTTTCATATCTAAAACCCCTCAACAGTCTGGTTTTGCATTTTGCATCTCAAGATGTGACTCCCTGATGGTTTAAGCCGAATTAGAACGAAGCTGCCTGGAATCTGGCCTCTCCTCTATCCTTCCCTCTGGCACGGCCTTACGTACAGCTGATTCCTCAGGGAGCCTGCATGAGGAGCATCAGAAAATTAACCGTAGCTTTCTGACAGTTCAGTTCCCTGACTGGGCTCTCCAGAGGATCAGATGAGTCTCAGCATGTCAAAAGGGGAAGGGAGAGAATGTTCCGAGGGGAAATGGGTGGGCCAGGTCTTGCAGCAGCATCAATTTCGATTGTTTTAAACCACTGTAGAGGAGCGTTCTTAGTGAACTTGCTAAACAGAGATTTATGTTACTGCCTTGGGAATTCTGTTCTTAACTAGCTTGTAACACTGGCTTCTGTTTGTAAATACGCCGTCAGGTATTTCCCTGTTGGTTAATATCCTTTTGAATTGATTTAAAATATGATCTTGTTTTCTGATTGTTTTGGTGTAGAGTAGCTTTCAAACTTAGCCTGACAAACACAGTTGAATCTGATACAAAGTTTAGAAGTTACCTTTGTGCCTAGAACATGTGCCAGTTTAGGATGCCCTTTCTGGAACACGTTAGGGTCGTTTGGGTGGTTTTGCTCAAGAGAAAGTTTTTAGTTTTGCGTACGGCACATTTATTATTTGTTAGACTTAATCCTAGTACCTCTACCTTCCGTTTTGAATAACTCAGGTCTGATCTTTTTGCCCTAGATCACTGCATGGTTAACTTTATTAAGGAGAATTTGCTGGGTTCGATTAAGGAATTCCGAAATCGATTCATAAACCCAATTCAGAACGGTCAGTGCGCAGACTCCACGCTGGTAGATGTCAGAGTAATGAAGAAGCGCGCACATATTCTCTACGAGATGTTAGCTGGGTGCGTTCAGGTAAGGACACTTCAACTCTTCACTTGTCTTAGCCAAGGAGTTTGGGCAGCAGAGCTCAGACCTCTGGTGAAGGTCACTTGACTCCTAAATGTGCAAGAGTCTCTTGGTCTGGATCAATACACCCTTCACCATGTGGATGAAGGTGTAGGGGCAGAGAAGTAGGCTGGCCTAAGAGTCAAAAAAAATGAGAACACAAGTACAATTTGCATTGCCCCGAGCGAGTGTTCAAAAACTGTGTACTCTAAACCAGAAAAAGGTTAACCTGAGTGCGAGCGAGGTCGACTCACAGTCAGCTCGAGTACAAAGATTGGTATTAGCTCCTTTACTTAGCCACGCTTTCACAAAAATAAAGTTGTATTTAAAAAAACCAACTCCCAGAAGTAGTTTTGGCCGAGCAGCCACTGAAGTTGCAGTCAGCTTTGCAAGGACTTGGAACTGGGATGTGGGGTTAACGGGTCATATACTTTTGACTAGACAACCACATTCACTAGGTAAGATGTGCCTGTAATTGGGTTGCATTTAGTGGCTATTTTTTCCCCTCTGTGGTTGGAAAGCATCTGAATCGTTGTAATTTATGCGTGGCGTTACGTCGGTCAAGATGCCAGAAGTTCTTACGCTCTCAGTAGTCGCTTTCGTGTTTATGTGACTCAAGTGTTGGTTGTAAAATTACAGAGGAAAGATTACACTGCATTAACGAAATTCCTCCCGCCAAAATACGAGTACGTTCTGGAAGTTCGAATGACGCCGATTCAGTGCAAACTCTACCAGTACTACCTGGATCATTTGACAGGTACGTGCCTCAGGTAACAAGATTGAAGGTTAAGAGGCTTTTTGCCAGAATTGGTAGGTTGGTTTGGATTTTTTTATGTCTTATTGGCTCTGTGGATGACTTTCCTGCTCTGAAGCTCAACAAAACAATTGGTTGCACGTAAAAATTTTTTTTTTTGAGGGATAACCTTAAAACCTCTCCTAACAGTAGCCCCACCTTCAGGTTTTGGTTCATCTCCCTGATCTTCCTTTTCAAAACATAAAACCTAAATGATTTAATGTCTTAGTGTTCCAAGAAACAAAATATTGACGGTAAGACTGGAGGGAGAAAATGCAAAATGGAGATGTAGCGGTGTGAGCGCGCTGCCGAGCCTTGCAGTTTCCTTTTGTCGTCATGCCGTTGTTGATCAAATATTGGCTCTTCTGTGGAACGGCCTCTTGTTTTGTCCTCAAAACCCACAAGGCTGGTTTTCACAGTGACTGTGCTTTTCACCAGCTTTCGGTGGGGTCTTGACCAGTCTATCTTGAGGGCTTGCATCTTCCCAGTAAAACTAAATTTGTTTAATTTAGGTCTATAAGGAACAAAAACCCACAACCCCAAAATGGGCTGATATGCTCTTTGCTTATGTTAGAGTTAAGCCACCCTAGTTCATACTTTTATGATATCAAGATACTGGAATATCAGCACTTCTGAATTATCCACGCAAACGTACCACGGGGAGCAGGAGTCTCAAGGAACTCAGGTTTTCTGTAGCACCGCCTTTCATGCAGCCAGATTCCTCAGCAGTAGTTTTTGGGTTATGAGGCAATTCTGGGGGTTTAAATACTGTTTACAATAATTGACTTTTAATCATCGGGCGTTGAATTCCATAGTCAAGAATGTTTAAGGCACTGCTCGTAGGATTTTGCCTGAAGCTTGAAGCACAAAGTTCACTTTTGGCAGTGATGACAAAATGTACTCTGTAGTCTGTTGTGCCGGTTTATTGCAATTTTTTTGCGTGCTTGTGAAGCCACCTGTCTCAAAATGCCTGTCTGTTGCTGTGGACTTTTTAATTTATTTTTAAACTATATTTTTCATTCTGGTTTCTCTGCCAAGTTTAATTACAAGAAAGATCAATTGTATCTGGAATTGAGCTATGATTTATAGGAATATGAAATCCACTGCATTGTCTTAATGGCTTTAGATACTGGAAAACATGGTTTGTCGTGTCCTAGATGTAGATATTTCCTGGGATTGTCTCATGCTTTGAGCAAGTGCGCAGAATAAGTTTTCTGCCTCTAGCCGTAGGCATTTGATGATTGTGCTCCGATAAATACTATTTTCTTGCAGGTACACGTGCCTTAAATGATGCAGATAATAAATATGAAAAACAATCTGTTCCAGGAACCTGAAGTTAATGTGCTGCTTCGTGAGAAATTGAGACTGCAAAAAAAAAAGAAATTTAACTCTCTGAATATTAGAACAATGGAAAAATAGGCTGGGGATTTTTTTAAGATTCTTTATTGTAACAGAATGCTGAAGCATTACAAAGGTGGCTCAGACTAGGAAGCCAAATGAATTGAAACCTAAATGCAAGTTTTATTTTGTGTTTTCGACCTTGGGCTGCTTTTCTGAAACCTGAATAGACACACGACTGTCCTTTTAAAGAGGATTTGGATTCATTCCTATGCTGAGAAGTGTGCTTTCATGTAAAAATGTAACCATGTTTCTCATTATCAAGGAGACAGGGAAAATCTAATTTTGACAACTTTTAACTGGGGGGAAAAAAAAAAAGCCTGTGATTCAGTAATTTGACCTTTTTTACAAGAGACGTTACAGTATCGTGTGCATCTGGAAAGAACACTCAGTCCTCTGCTGACGGATCGTTCATAGGGGGGAACAGTATGTGACAACCTTAATTCCAGGTTTCGTTCTAAAAGCTGAACTTTATTGTCAGGTGTAGGTGGTGGCAACGAAGGTGGAAGAGGCAAAGCCGGAGCTAAACTATTCCAGGATTTCCAGATGTTGAGCCGAATCTGGACTCACCCTTGGTGTTTGCAGCTGGACTATATTAGCAAAGAAAATAAGGTGAATTAGATATATCAAAATACTCTCTGCTGAGAACTTTCCAAATAAGCTTTGCCAAATGCTAGGTAAAGTTTCGTCAAATTAATGGAAATCTTTGTTGCGGTGGGGTAATTTTGCTGCTGGTTTTGTCGTATTTTTGTGTCTGAGTATGTTGTCATTCTTAAAACATTTTGCAAGGCCAACCCTTTGTAGAACTTAACATTTTTTAAAGTGGAGAATAAGCAGATGGCTAAAGATTTAATAAAAGCTTCTGGATGAGCGTTCTTAATAACTTCCTTGTTTTTTCTCTTTGGAGGGCTATTTCGATGAAGACAGTATGGATGACTTCATAGCTTCAGATTCCGATGAAACTTCAATGAGCTTAAGTTCTGATGATTATGCAAAGTAATTAAGTTTTTATTCCTTGTGTGTTGGATTTGTTTCCCTAATAACTGAAGTGGTGTCTGTAAAAGTGAATGCTTGTTTTTCTTATTTTATGCATCTGTTAGAATGTGTTCTCGCAGTTGAATTTTAAAAAATAATGGGGTGTGCTACGTTACCTACCTAGGAAAAAAAAATCTAAGGGGAAAAAGGTGAAGAAAGAGTGCAGTTCAAGCGGAAGTGGCAGCGATAACGATGTTGAAGTCATTAAAGTCTGGAATTCTAGATCTCGTGGAGGTGGAGAAGGAAATGCAGACGACCTTGGCAACAACCCTCCATCTGTTACGAAGTCCGATGAAGGCGAGTGTGGTATACGAGGAGATAAAATACAAGGCAGCTTCGTTTTGCAAACGGCAATTTGAGAGGGCTGTCAGGAATTCTGCCTTGTTGCAGAACGGCAAATTCCTTAATTCGTTGAAGTGCTTCTCTGCTTAAAGCTCCCACTGCTTCTAATAGTATACTCATCCTGGAAAAACAAGAGGCATCAATTTAGAACTTGTGGAGTGCCTTGTGATGGGGGAGCTGCACAGTTAATCTTTTTAATTCATATTGGCTTTTTTTTTTTTTTACAATTTCCCTGGAAAAACAAGAGGCATCAATTTAGAACTCAGAGTGCCTTGTGATGGGGGAGCTGCACAGTTAATCTTTTTAATTCATATTGGCTTGTACTTTTTCCAACAATTTCTAACAATTTAGATGTTTTCTTTGAGATTCAAAATAATTTTCTCTATGGAAAGCTGCTTTTCAGTGGCTGGAACATTTATGGATGATTTTTCAGAGATGCATACTTGGTAGAAAAAGGCTGTTGATAAATATTTTGGGGGAAAGTGTGGAGATGGTTGAAGTATTTGTCCAAATATCCTGAGGCACAGAAAAGGAATTTGTGACTCTAATTGATGGCTTGTGCTATTGATAACTGCTAATAGCACAACTCTCTTTGTACCGGTTAAGCCTAAAAATGAGGAATCAATTCTGTAGTTCAGATGTTTCAAAGCATTTAAACAGAGACTGTGCCTTTATCTTCCAAATTACTTTTTTCCCTTTCTTCTTTTTACAGGCAAAGCGACATCCTCTTCCAATCCTGGTAGCCCAGCGCCAGACTGGTACAAAGATTTTGTCACAGATGCAGACGCTGAAGTGTTGGAACATTCTGGGAAGATGGTGCTTCTCTTTGAAATTCTTCGAATGGCGGAGGAGCTTGGAGACAAAGTGTAAGTCCTCTGAAGAACTGTTTCCCGTGACCTTATGAATATGTTAGTCTGACACGTGTTCTTCACTCGGCCTTCCTAACGCTGTAGCTCCGTTTTCTGAAGCAGATGGTGATGCTGTGTTCCTTTTTCTCAGTGAGTTCTCCCGGATGTGCTTGTGCTCCGCCAAAGTCTTTCTCTGAGTCTAGAAAGGCTGTTTGTTTCAAAGGCAGCGTCAGAGTGAGGAGGGAAGAAAAATAAAGCGGTAGGATGCTTAAAATAACCTCAGAGGTGAATTTGGTGTTACCCTCTTTCTGCTTTCAGCCTAGTGTTCAGCCAGTCTCTGATATCTCTGGATTTGATAGAAGATTTTCTGGAGCTGGCCAACAGGGAGAAAACTGACAAAGACAAATCTTCTATTTATAAAGGTGAGTGTCACCTTGAGCAGTCGCAAGACTTTACAAGTCTCTCTTCGGTCCGAAGGGAATGGCTTTGAAATCAACTTTTCATTTAGAGTATCGTACTTTCTGTGCTGTTCCTGAAGTTGGTGGGATTCTCTTTGGTCGCCTCTGGAGGTGGTCTCTGCTATCCCGTTATGGCCTCTTGCTTCTGATTTCGTTCTGTGTCACCCACGCTTAATATAGCCCGAGCAGATTAAATGTTGGTTATCTGAAAGGAGAGAAGGCATTTTGTTAAGTCTGCTACAGAAATGCCGTTGTATGCTGACCTGTGGCAAATCCTGAGGCTTCCTACTGGGAGAGAGAGAATGAAAGGACAGGACTGCTTTACAACAGCGTGTAGAGCGTGCAAAATGTGAATTTAGGCTTCATAAGCACTTAACTTTTGAAATCTCCTTTTACTTATGAATTCTGTTTGTATGGGAGAGACTTAATTACGCTAATTGAGCAAAACGAAACTGCGCAGATCAATTAGAAAAGTACAGTTAGTGTTAGGAGACCTAAAGCCACTCTAGCTACTTCTTAAAATTAACTTTGGCTCCAAGTTGAAGGCATATCTCTACAAATATGTGTATTCAATTAGAAATACTACACCCAAAAAGCTCAGGTCTTTTAAAATACCTGAATTAAAATTTAACCTCGGAATTTAATTTGATTGTGAATTTGTATCTTTAAATTCTGGTCTGTATAAAACTGCTTTGAGGAGTTTAATTTAATATCAGTTGATCTTTTCCTGAAAAATAACAACACCTTGAGAAGAAATGGATGGTGATAGATGGCAGATAGTTTTTGCAAGGTAAAACAATGTTGCCAGTGCTTACTCTGTTTTCGAATGATTTTACGAGAAATTGGCTTAAGATTTGTAGGAGCTGTTGATTGCCATCAGAAATGCGATTACTGTTATTTTTTGTCATGTTACATATTCCATGTTTTGTTATGCAAGCTTCGCTACATAATTTTCAAGTGCCGGTGGCAAGTACCTTTATCCTCCAAAAATGTTCTTTATGTTGAATAACATACAATCTTCTCACGTTATTTGAAAATGTCAGAGAACAGTGTATTTTATGTTCTGTGTTTGTACTATTTAGAGTGTTGCGCATATCCAGTATTGTCAATCTTGTTACTTATGCAGTCAGCCCCGGAATATTTTGACTGTTACGTTTACAGGTGAAGGGAAATGGTTCAGAAACATTGATTACTATCGCTTAGATGGTTCAACTACAGCTCAGTCGAGAAAGAAATGGGCTGAAGAATTTAATGACGAAACTAATGTGAGGTGAGATGTCTTCTGATATATGTGCTCAATTTTGCCCCTTTTGTTCCCTATTTCTTTGTTAGTTGCATTAGCTTAAGGCTGGGCAAATAAATATCACTGTTGTCTGGTGCAGAGCTTCCACCAAAAAAAACCACGCAAAACCAAGAGTGTTCTGGTTCCCTGAGATTACTTCCATTTGTACTGATCGATGTGTGTTCGGTGTTTCCCTGCTTGTTTACATTGCAAGCAGTTTGGATCAGAGACAACTCTTTTTATTCCAGTTACCTAAAAAGAGATAAAGACCCGAGAAGGTCAGAGCCGCAGGGCAGCCAGTCAAGTTGTCTCTGAGCCATCCCCTGTTCATTCCAGATGGGACTTTCCAGTCAGATTTGGAAAAGAAGCTCGATACAAACGTGTACATGTTTAATGAAATTGAAGAGTTTCACCTTCCTAGGTTTTTATAAAATAAAACATATAGTTGTTTGCTAGCCAGGAAAAAACTTCAATAGCATGGGGTATGCCTGTTTAAAATAACGTTTTAATTTGATATAACTAATTTTATTAAGAGTTTGAAAATATAAACTCAGAATTTTTTCTTGCCCACCAGTTTTGGTTGGTTTCCAGAAAGCACCGATCTGGATTTCTGGGAGCGTATGTTTAGCTAAAAGTGTCGTCCTTGTAAAATCTGCGTCTGTTTTCTGCTTAATACAGTATTTTAATGAATTTTCTGGGTTATTTCAGCATATGAACAACTCCATAGTAACACAGCAACATGGGGACAATAGTTGTTCTCCAGAATATTAAAATTGTGCACCTTTTTTCCGTTCCAGAGGTCGCTTGTTTATTATATCCACTAAGGCCGGGTCCCTCGGAATTAATCTCGTGGCTGCTAACAGAGTAATCATCTTTGATGCTTCTTGGAACCCGTCGTACGACATCCAGAGTATTTTCAGGGTTTACCGCTTTGGGCAGAACAAACCTGTGTTTGTGTACAGGTTTTTAGCTCAGGTAGGTCTCAGTGTGATGTTTTTGTGACGTTCTGGTCCCGCAGTCAAATTTGTAAATGCTGTTTGGACTTGGGTCAAAGTCTGTAGTAGTCCGCACCAATCCAGTCATCTCGAACCCGAAATCATTTCCTGTTAAGCCTTTCGACACAAAATTTGGAATTCTAGCAGGGATTCACACACCCAGACTCAGAAACCTGCTCATCTTTTTTGCGTCATGCGCACCACTACAAATCGTTGATGGAACAGGCTGCAGAGAGGTGGTTGTGAGGCTCCCTGAGTCGGGTCTGGGAGCCCCTGACGGTCTAATGGGAATAAAAACACACGGAGCTAAAGAATTTTGTAGAAGATGGCATCCAGTTACCAGTTAAAAACTTGTATCACACCTGACACATACTAAAGGCGTTAATAATTCCAATATGCTTGTTTGGTTTTTTTTTTTTTAAAAAGTATAATGCCATTATTTCAGCTAGGAAGTATCTTGCTTCATCGTTTTGTTCTTCAGGTGTTACAGAGTTAGGCCAAAGACATTTTCCCAGTTACATTACTTGAGCAAGTCGTTATTTACTTGCCAACTTAAATAGATAACTTTTGTATAACATGTTGCTGTCAGACGTGCGTTTTCTTTGTGCTTCAGTCTATTTTTGTAATTTTCTATGTGCACTTCTGAACTGTCGATATCCTTTTTCTAATTACGATGTTCGGAACAGCCTATGCTGTTCTCTTGCTTATAGTCACCATCTCTTCTTTTTTTTTTTCAAGTAATTTTCCTTTTTTCATCAAGTATCTAATTTTTTTTCATACACAGCTGCAATGAATTAGACTTGACTCCTTCCCTTTCCCTCTCCTCTCCACCCCAGGGACACAGTATCTGTTTTCCTTTTTACGGGCTGCTCAAAGCAGCAAAACAAGGTACATGCTGTGGAAATTGCCTTTTTTTTGGGTCATAATCTTACTTTGGGGAATTGAAGCAAAACTGGATCTCTTCAAGAGAGTACTGAAAAAATACATTTTTTCAGTCAGTAGCTAGATGACATCTGTCATGTCCGCAATTCTTACTACTTTGTCTTTGCTTCAGGGAGGTGTTTTTTTCTTTTTTTCTCCACGAGGTGTTTTCAGGTAAATTTGTAGATACAGGGTCAAAGAAATGAGGTAAAGAGAGCATTGTTACATTGTTGTTTAGCTCTTTTATATCCATTAGTATTTTTTTCCTATGTGACAAGGAGCTCTAGTTCTTTGTATGAAAGTGAGCGTCTTCGGTTTTTTTTAGGGAACGATGGAAGATAAGATCTACGATCGGCAGGTAACGAAGCAGTCACTGTCTTTCCGGGTTGTCGACCAACAGCAAGTTGAACGTCATTTTACCATGAATGAGCTCACGGAGCTCTACACTTTCGAGCCAGATTTGCTGGATGATCCTAATTCAGAAAAGAAAAAGAAGAGAGATACGCCGATGTTGCCAAAAGTAAGTTGATGGACGTTGCTACGCAGTACGTGCCATAAAAATGACTTCTCTCTGCTTAAGGACGTGGGGTATTTGATCGTGGAAGGAGAAGAGTTTTCACCTTAGAGGGTTATTTTTCACTTCTAATGGAAGTGAATAGCAGGTAACACAATGAAATATGTAGTTAGTAGGCAGTGATGCTGTGCTTCAAAGGGCTGGTTTTTGTCTGAGAATACTTCCCAAGAGTCGAATTAATTCATGCTCTCCTTTGCCCAGCCTTCTTGGTTTTTAATTCCTCGTTTAACTCTTCTTGTAGGGACCAGTAGTAGAGATATGGTAGAGGTGGAGGTAAAAATGGCAATTATCTTTGCTTCTTCCTGGGTGAATAGGTAGTCAGCAGCGACACAGAAGTGTGTGGCCCGCAGGTAGTTAACGGGGGTTCAATTTCTGAGTTACTGCTGTGTCATTGTCCAGGGTCTGGGGTGGGGAGGGAGGTTTTCCATTTGTAAATCTATTAATTTCAAAGGAAAAATGTTTTGTTTTTATTTTCATCCTAGACTAGCTGTAGAGCACTATAATATAGTAAGTTGTGGTCAGGCTTCGTGTGGGCATTCTTAATAGTTAAGCCGTTCTCTGGAACGGTCTGTGAGACCACCTACGGTGGCGGTGCAGCTGCCGGGGGATTTAGGAAGCGTTAGCCCCCTGAGTGTTGGTCACTGTTACACACGCGTTTTAAAACCCTTGAGAACAAACTTTGGTGACTGTATCTGAGCTCTTTTTACTAGAGTTTCTCACTCTAAGCAGTAAATAGTAGATAGCCAAAAACTTCATTCTACCCTTTTACTGTGCTGTCCGTTTTTATTTTGGCAAATTCACTCCTACAACATCTTCCATCAGGTTGTAATTAATAGTATTTCTTTTGTCTTTTTTTAATTCTTGAGTTATTTTATGGCATATACATTTGTGCTTCCACAAACTCGTCGGTTGAAAAGGCTAAAAATGATCAGGTAGATTCACCTTATTTTAGCAGCTGCTGTATTTATTTGTTGAAAGCGGGGTTTTGCGTTCCTGATAGCCTCGCTGCATGTGGGAAGCGAGCCGGTAACCCCCCAAAACCCCTTCCCTTTCTTTGCCCCCCTGAATTCTGCTTGGTAGCGAGGAAGTGTCGCGCTGGCCGATAGATTCCCTCAGGTGCTGCAGGAGTTGGGAGCCGGAGGTGTGAGGAGTGCTTAGCGCCAAGGTACTCGCTGTTGCAAAGAGATTTATAGCGGAGAACTTGTTTCGTTCTTCCATTTGCTATTTTGATGATTCCACTTCTTTTAACATCATTCTTGGCTGCTTCCCTGTGAAGCTCAGCTAATTGAGACATTTTATTTTCGTTTTATCCTCAGTTAGGTTCTCGCTTTGCACACAAAACTGAGCTAGTCCGGTAGTTGCAACGACTCTTTCCTCAATTCCTGTGAACTGTTTAATTTGAATTATCTATCTATAATATCCCAAGTTTAGCTTCTGATATTTGATTCCCTATTCTTTTTCTTTTGTGGTCTGCCCCATTCTCTCAAATCCTGCATAGAAAACCAAAAGCAAGAATCAGCTGTGGGAAACGCTGCAGTGGATGTTATTCTCTAAATTGTGCAAGATTATTCATTCAGAAAGTTAGATATTCCTTATCTCATTGTAATTTTAGTAGAGAGATGTGATTTAGCTTTATAATAATAAAACTTATTCGCAATCGAGTGAATTTAGCAGCACATACCATTTTTTTTAAAGTTACTTAGGCGGCTGTTCACATGCTTCCAAAAACATTGCAGTAGCATCGACGAGTTAACCAGCGTTCGGAGATTCCCATTTTCTTGAAGATTATGTTGCACGATGTCCTGATGCTTTGCCCTGCGGCGAGTTCAGCTGGAAACAAAGGCAGCGAAAACTGCCCTCGTTACTCTTCCGGCGCTGAGCTGCCTGCCCCTCGCTTACAAAGACCAAGCTGTTCCTTTATAATTACCGGCGGAGCAAAATAGGCATTTGGGCTAAAAGAAGGCTTTAGTTCTGCCCTTTACAGGTTTGGGGTATAATTGTCTCTCTTTGTGTTGAGGCCTCTTTGACATCTTCAAAGCGTAGGCTGTCGAGCAGCGTTATCTCCTGTCATTTTACTGGCGTGCAGGCAGGAAGGTAAGGGATTATTATTGTCTCTGTGATCCTCGAATTGCTGTGAAAGGCGCAGTAAAAACAGGTAAATAGGTGAATGATACTGCTCGGCTCCGACAGAACAGCTCCCTCGGAACACGGGTGCGAAGGTGTTTGAAAATCAGACGGTTTAGAATTGACCCTTGCCGTGCTCTTTGGAGGAAATTCTGTGTTGGGGATTTTTTTCCAACTGTCAAAACACGAACATTGGAAAGCCTGAGGTGGGGATAGCAGGTTTTCTGCTAAGTCACGGAGCTTTTTGACCACCGCAACGCCCCACAGGAGGGAAATTTCTCCAGGTAGGCCACCAAGAATTGTCTACGGTGAGGAAGAATGACCCAGAGCTGAGAGTTACAGAATTACAGAATCATTCAGGCCGGAAAAGACCCTTGGGATCGAGTCTGACCACTAACTCGCCTCGATAAACCTCACCCCTAAACCATCTCCTCCAGCCCCACATCTAAAAGACCTTTAAACACCTCCAGGGATGGGGACTCCACCACGTCCCTGGGCAGCCTGTGCCAATGTCTCGCTGCTCTTTTCTGTGGACATTTTTTTCCTAACGCTCCCCTGATGCAGTTTGAAGCTGTTGGGGTTTGAAGCCCAGTTGGGGCTGCTCTTGTTTGAACACACTTTTCAACTTCGCTGATGTCAGATACTTTTTAAACTATTTTGCTTTTAATGAGTTAGGAGGATTCATTCTGCGTTGTTTTACAAGTCAGAAGTAAAGCTGTTATGTGACCGAAGAAACAAATACTTCTTGATTTTTAAAATACATCCGTGAGAATTTTGGTTTTGCAGCAACCCAAGTTTCAGTCAGAGACAGGTTTTCTTAGAAAGTGTTGGTAAGGGTGAGGGGCAGATGCTGAATGTTGCTATTTTTCATAACAAGTCACACAGCGAACACGCAGTATGTGATTTTTCTGGAAGCCTATCAAAGTTTCATGTCAAGTTTTAATTTTAGCAGCAGTTTTCTGCCCTTTGCGGTCTGAAGAAGACCTTCAGGTTGCCGAGGAGGGATGAGGAGCTGGTGACGTGCTCCTCGGAGGGCGAGAATGCCTCTTGCACTACAGCCGTAATTTCATGGCACCTTTTCTCCTCCCTTACCTCTCTGAAACAGGTTCTGCGTGTAAATACTTTGTTTTAACAGAGTATTTTTATTGTAAACGTTGTTTGCGTGAATTACGAAATTAGTCTTGGCTGCTTGAATTCATTCACCCACCATCCCTGCGGAGTTCAAAAGGACGATTTGAGAACTTCAGTCTGAAAAAAGAGGGAACAGATGTCCTCAGGCCAATCTGCTGGACTGAAGCTTGCACGTAGTTACCGTGTGTCGACCGGGAGCTCTGTGCAGGTGCAGCGACTCGTTACCCAGCGCAGGCTCAAGGCGCAGGCGGGATCTGTCACTCTTTCTGCGGAGCAGCAAGTCAGGAGCCCAGGATGGTGTAAAGCGAGAAAACTCCGTTCATGTCTTGTGATCGTGTTTGCATGAAATGAAAACGTGGCTTGGTTGAGGTCATGTAAATGCAGGTTGGAAAAGCAGATTAAAATAGTAGTTTGGACCAGGTAGGATGTAGTATGTTGTTACTTTATACCACCTCAGGGCATAGCCAGGGCATGTGTTTTGCTGTAGTTCCATACTAGGAGACAAGCTGATGAATTTTGGAAGGCTCTTGATCTTTGAATCAGAAGAATTTGCAGCTTATTTAGATTTATTTTTCTTTTTAACCTTGGTCAATCAGTTGAGAAAAGCTTGTTGAGGAATTGCCACGTAAGTTGTATTCCTTCGTGGGAGACTTCTGATACATTTATCTCTCCATAGCACGTCATTTCCGTCAGGATTTTAAAAGGCAAACCTTTTTTTAAAATTCAAACCCTTATTTCAGTGTCTCTTCATTTTTCCATCCATCAGCAGGATTTCATCTTGAAGCGTATAAACGAATTGATAATTATTGTTCTGTCAATAGGCTAGACAAATGAAAAGGAATAATTATTCTGGTAATTTTTTGTGTGTAAGGGGAACTTTTTTTCATTGTAAAATTAAAGAAACTAAATGGCAGCACCGTCCACTTTTGAGCTCTGTTATGAAATCTAATGCAAAAGAAAAATTTAAACAAAGGAGAGCAAACACACAGTTGGATGTAATTTAAACCACATTTTGAAGACCGTGTTGGCAAAGTGAGTGTGGATTGTATTCCAGTTTTGTTTTCAATAATAGTGTTACCAGGGAAGTGAATGCACGTGCATGTCCAGGAGCTCTCCCCACGCGGACATACGGCTACAGGACGCTGAGAGCACTTTCCTTGTGTTCTTTGGTGACACCTTTGTGACTTCTTCACCCATGTGCCCGAGGTGTTTCCATCGTATCCCATTACTCTGTCCCTTTTCTCATGCTGTGCCTTCTCTCCTGCCACCCCAGAAATACCATTATTTGTTCCTCGTGCCCATCAGTCACGTCGGCGTTACAATGAGTGTTTTGTCCAGGAGCTGGTGGTAAAAGTGTCGATTTGAATTTAGGGACACCAGGTAGTAGAAAGATGAACCAAAGACCAGCTTATATAATGCCTTCACATAACTGAATTTTAAACACACATGGAAACACAACAGCTTGCTGCAGCTGTTGTGACCAAACCGCTGGTCAGGTCCCCCACGTGCAGTTCCCAGTGTTGTTTCCAAATCTGTTTGCTGGTGGCTACGAGCCGTTCTTCCTGGTCATTGCTCTGCCTGGAGTATAAACTGTCAGGTGGGACAGTTTATATTCCCGTCTGTAGAAACGCCAGAGGAAGGGCAGGCTCTGGAGCTGGCTCTGTAGGCAGTCGTGTAATTCCACTGCAGAAAGTACATTCAGTGTATCCACTGTAATTCCTTTCGGGAGTGGTCCAAAAGCTCCGTGAGATAATGGTTTTGTGTAACCGATCTGCAACGGGACGCTGAGCTCTGTTGGAGTTTTATGGGTAGAAATACACATATGCCTGCAAAGAAAACGTTCGCAGCGGTTTGCTTGTAGAAAGGGCGTTGGAAATATCTGGGGTAACGCTAAAAGCGGTTAAACGCTCGGGGTGCTGGGGAACAGAGAGATCTGAATTACAGCCTGCCCATCACCTCGGGTTCCTGGCACTGGTTTGACCTTTCCCGGTGGCGATGGGTATGGGGGCTGCTCGTCTCCACCCGTATCTTAACAGTTCCAAGCAAGCAGCCTTCTCAGTTGAACGCTGCTCGACGGACCAAAGTGCTACCTCGTGTTTTAAATCCAGTCGAGGTTCTTTCTGTTACGTTATAGGCAGCAATTATTGATAGGTCCTCTCAGGTATCCAGCCCGAGCAAAGGAAAAACCACGGAGCACGTTCCATCCTTTTTTGTGGGATCTGAGAGCATTCCTGTGCTTCGTTAAGTGATGGGACTGCCATCTCGGTACCAGGTTGTCAGTCCATTCCCCTCCCTCTGAGGAGAATCGCACTATTAAATTAGTTTTTTTTTTTAATTTTGCTTCGCTCGGAGCTGCTGTTTGTGAAGCGGGGTCGGAGCGGTAAGTTAGGTGCGCAAGAAGAGGGAGTGTAGCAGAGCCGCTGGGTGACTTCTCGTCTTGTTGTCTCTTCATTTGACCAGGATACGATTCTGGCAGAATTGCTTCAGATCAATAAAGAGTATATCGTTGGGTATCATGAACACGATTCCCTCCTGGACCACAAGGAGGAAGAGGAGCTCACTGAAGAGGAAAGGAAGGCAGCCTGGGCAGAATACGAAGCAGAAAAGAAGGTAAAGCGATCTGGTCAGGCTTACAGATGTGAAAGTAACCTGTCCAGATGTAAGTGCCACTCACCTTTTCAGTCTGTTTGGGGGGAAATGGATTTTCTGATGGGCCGAGAGGCAGATACGTAAAGCAAATGTTGACATATGAGAAATGGAGATGCCGCGTCTCATTTGCTCTTTTCGGTGCTGGTGGTTTGTGTGCGTTTCCTTTTTTACTTTCTTATGAAAGTTACTTTTTCCATTTACGCACAAATTTTTTTTGTTCCATAAGAAAACTCACCTGCTGCCCCGTGTAATACTTCTCTTGTACCATTTGAGGGAAATTTCTAGCTCAGTTCAAGATATTTCAGATTTTTTTGCCACGGTCCAACAACATGCATCAATCTGCCAGAAAGGACTTAAAACCTTGCTTTTTTTTTTTTTTTTCCCCTATTATTCCCTGTATCTTGTTTACTTGTTATTTAAGCAGGTGGTAGAATGGAGAAAATTTTAAATTGGCTTTGGGATTTTTTTTTTTAAACTGTAGAAGAAATATGATAACTTGTTGTAACTGGAGTCTCATAGCAGAAAATTCCTGGAAAGGCAGAGTTTGGTATTTGGATCTGCTCAGTCATCTGCAGGTACAAAAAGTCGATGTATAAATCGCTACTGCCCGTCTCGAGTGAACAAATGACAAATGAAAAGGGCTGCTGGGGAGAAGGTTTTGTGAGGGAGAAGAAATAGGGAGATAAAATCCCATAAGCACTGCAATTGCCCTGTGAGGAATCCACGTGGGAGATGAGCTTTAAATTTCTGCTGATACATCATTCATCTCACTTCTTCACACTGTGATTACAGTCAGGTCAAACTCACCCTTAAGTGGTGGGTTTAAAATATACAACAAATGCATCTTAAACAACGATATACTAATGAGCTTCGGTTATTTGGGGTTTTTCCCTAGTGTGCCAGATCAATATAACTCTGGCATTACTCAGGATTAGGTTTCTCTGTGATTCACATGCCCTTTGGAATTGAGGCTTGGAAAGGATTTCCAGTTGGCCGAGGGGGCTCAGCCTCGACGCGCGGCGTGAGCGCCGTGCTCGTCGTCTTCTCTAAGGGCCCGTTTGTCTGCGGGTGGTGTTTCGGGGGTTCTTACAGAAGACCAGGCGTCATCAGAGCTGTTCAAATACGAATGGTTCTTGTGTTTTTTAAGGGCTTGACGATGCGTTTCAACATGCCGACTGGGACCAATATGCTTCCCACCAATTTCAACTCTCAGACGCCGTATATTCCTTTCAATTTGGGAGCTCTCTCAGCGATGAGTAATCAGCAGCTGGAGGTAAGTACCGATCTGAGGACGGCGACGTGTCTGTGTTTTCCTGTCTAAATACTTGAATTTGTACGTAGTTGTTTCCTACTCTTAGTAGTTTGGGTTATTTTTATGGGTGTAGCTATACTGAAGTCTTAACTCGTACACGTATAAACCTGTAGCTGTGTAGTGTCTCGGGGTTCTGGAACCTGCATTCTTCGCAGACGCGAATCCCCACATCAAGCTCTCTGCCTCCCTCGGTCTCATGCCCGAGAAGGAATGGGAGAGAGGATCGCGTGCTCGCTTCCTCAGTTCCCTCTCATCTTGCTTTGCCTCGCTGAGGGCATTTTTTGCTAATAAACCCGCAAGGTTGTAACATGCAGGAGTTGAAGCACAGTTGTGTTGTTTCACCTGCTAGTACCTGTGAGGAGGCCGCGCTAAAGAATTGAAAGCCCCTAACAATGGGTGCGAGTCAGGAGGGTCTGTGTTGAGAATACCCGAGTTACAATATGCAGTATATGCCAGTATTGCACTAAAATGGATCATTTGGTAAAGCAGAAAGTATTCTGAGCGCATAGGATGGATTGAAACTGTAACGTCATCAAAGTCAATATTGCAGAAAATGTGCTTGGGTTGGTATGGAGCACGCCGGTGGGGATCTCAAAAACCTTTGGGCACAAAAATAGGGTTTTTTACAGATGCTGTCCACTGTGCCGGTGGGCACATGCTGCTCAATCAATGCTGAAATTCAGTTGTGTGCAAGCTCAGACTCACTGACTTGTGCAAATTGAAAGAAAAAAATAATTAAAGTGGGGGTGCACAAAGCGAAGAAAACTGATAAAAGGTTGGCAAAGAAACGTTCTATCTGCGCGTCATAATTAATTTTCTGGTGTTTTCTCAGGACCTTATTAATCAAGGAAGAGAGAAAGTTGTGGAAGCAACCAACAGTGTAACTGCAGCAAGAATTCAGCCCCTTGAAGACATCATTTCAACCATAGTGAGTGAAATGGGGAACTGGAGGTTCACGTCCGGAGATGGGAAAACGTTACCAGGCCAAGAAATTACTGGTTTAGATAGTCATTCAGCTAATTAATTGCATTATTAATTAATATAATTTCTAGTTTGTATTGACTTCTATCCTTGCATCCTTTGGTAACCCTTAATGGTATGTAGATGACGCAGAGCTTTAGGGGACGTGCGATTTAGATCCATAGTTACTTGCTGTGCTCTGAAAATGCCGATTTTCTACTGATGAGAATAATAATTACACACAGATATGATGTTCTTCCTTTATCTTGTCCTTCTCTACCTGTCTTGGTCTGCTGCATTTCTCACTTGCCCCCAGTAATCTAGATTCTGATGCTGGTGAAGTCCAATTTTGCATTTACTGGACACGGGGGCTGTGTTTTAACTCTGCGACTCTGACCGTGAGACAAGATCTCAGTTACTGTTAACGCTCTTGTTAAAATGCCTGGGGCCAAGGAGGTTTTGGTGTTTTCTCTTTTCCAGTGGAAAGAAAACGTGACCCTCACGGAGAGCCAAGTGCAGGCCCTGGCGCTGAGCAGGCAGGCGAGCCAGGAGCTTGACGTCAAGCGCCGAGAAGCCATCTACAACGACGTCCTCACTAAACAACAGATGGTAAAATGCCTGATACCCATTCCATCCGCTGCCCACGCACGCGCTGGGTGTCGAGCGTGGCTTTCGCATGGGTTGCTCATAAAATAGAAGTTGAGGTACAGAAACGAGGGCTTACGGGGCGCGTGTGTTGGCAGGGGAGGCGTAACGGTGACGTGTGCAAGGCAACGCTGGGAGCTTAGCCTTGTCGAAAGGGACTGCGTGAGAAATTCATCTTATTTCAGAAATAAAAAACGCTCACCAGGTTTTTCTGTTGAAGCGTTTCGCTTGAAGCTCCTGAGGCTTAAAAAGAAATCTGATTGCCAGAGCTCAGAGAGCAACTTGCGAAACACGCGTCTTAGAAAGTGCTGGTAATGGGGCTTGTCGTTTAGAATTATTTTGCAAAATCTGAACGTTGCTCAGATTGTGTCAACAGGGAAAAGTTTTTTCCTGGGCAGACAAGCCTTTAGTGCCAGCCTGCACGCAGGGCTTCCGGAGGCGGGGTGAGTGGTGCCTGACAGGTAAAGCTGTAACTGGTACTGGGCAATAATTTCACCCTCAGGGATGTCCCTGCCTGCGTCCTGCAGGGATGACCTCGGGCACGCTGTCCCGTTAGTGACGGTGATAACGCCGGCTCCGCTTTCCCTTCGCAGTTGATCAGTTGCGTTCAGCGGATCCTGATGAACCGGCGGCTCCAGCAGCAGTACAACCAGCAGCAGCAGCAGCAGATGTCGTACCAGCAAGCGGCGATGAGTCACCTCATGATGCCAAAGCCTCCCAATTTAATCATGAATCCTTCCAACTACCAACAGATAGATATGAGAGGAATGTATCAGTCCGTGTCGGGCGGGATGCAGCCGCCACCCTTACAACGAGCGCCACCCCCAATGAGAGGCAAAAATCCAGGCCCTTCCCAAGGGAAATCGATGTGATTTTGCACTAAAAGCCTAAAGGATTGTTAAAATCAGAGAAAGAACTTTTTATTTTTTTAGGAATCAATGGCTTAACAGAACTCAACTGTAAAAACAAAAAAGGAAAGGAAGAAAAGAAAAAAAGGAAAAAAATAGACCCCGTTTGGTTGGTCCCCTTAACTGCCACGTTCCGTTTTAGTGTTTCAGCCTTGTTTCGGTAGGACATAACGTTTTCCCTGTTGTCGGTGATGTTGCCTAGAATCTTCTTACGTGCGTTGAGTACAGGAGATAACAAGTTGTTTTCAGTGAAAACAAAGCCCTCCCGTAACAGTAGCATCTCCACAGGTTTCCTGTCTAAACTCCTGCGCTTGCTTTTTCAGTAGCTGCGAGGCCGTCGCTGGACGCGAGACGTTTGGGAAGGGCCCCAGGTGCGTGTGTTTGGGTCTGTAGCCTGTGTGAGTCCTAAAACAGCTGAGTTCTTGATTAGAGTTGATTCCTCAAATTCTGGGATCCTTTTCTGCTTACCCGTTTCTTTATATCAGTGGGAAGGGTATACCAGAGAGAGTCCAGTTCCCTTTCGACCGGGGTCTGGGCTCGTACTCTGTCATCTATGCTGAATGAAACAGGAACTGAAGATACTCTTTGAAGCAGAATTGAGTGCAATATTCTTAAATACTACTGCTCTGAAACTTTGGAGTCGTGCAGTTACGTAGAAACTGTGTGTACAGCCTTAAATAGCGACTGGGGAAGGTGCTCGTTCTTCCCCGGTCTTCTGCCATTTTTGTATTTTCAGTTTGACGGGACAGAAGAACAAGTGGTGGTCTTAGAGGTGGAGACGTTTTTTCTTCACGGCCCGATCCGCTCTCCGCCAGTCCAAAACAAAGCACATTTCTGTTAACTCCTTCATGCTGGTGCTACTGTCTCTTCCCGTTGCCGGCAATGGGAGACGGGCCAAGAAAACGAAATTCCTGGTATTTGGGGGGTTAAAAATAACGATGGTGGCCAGGGTCAAACCCGGGGCCGTAAACAACTCGACAGTGGCAGAATCAATCGCTGATTGAGAATCGATTCAAAGAAAGTGCTGGAGCAACTGCCAGAGCTGCCAGAAGGGTGAAGTAACTTCTCCTCTCGTAGAGTTTCCCTCACGCACTCCTCCCCGTTCGCCTTTGGTCGTGTGAAAACATGATTTTGTACACAAGAGCGTGATGTTTGGATTTTTTTGAATTTTTTTGTTTGTTTTAGGCCAGAGATAAATGCCTGGTTTGTTATATCCTGTTAGCACTCTCTTCGCCCACCTTTTGTGTGCGTGTGAAGATTGAAATTAAATACGAATAGGGCTTTTCTTTGAATATAGCTTGCTCGATTCTTCCTCCCTCCCCCCAAAAAAAGAGAGAAAAAGGTTGATAACTCCGGGAGGTGAAGTGACAGGAACATTCGGGGCAGCGGTGTATCGACCGCAGAGAACGCCGGAGAAACGAGCGGGCGGAGGCGTTTGCTTCAGTTATCACCGGACTTTTCTGACTTGCTGACGTGAACTAAAATCGTTTTGGTTTCTGGAAAGTTTCGTGCGGGAGTTTTGAGTTCTTGCCCTGAAGGGACAAGCAGGTTTTGCATCTAAACGCGCGACTGATGCGATCTTTCAGTTTGTGATGGAAACTTGGGTTTGTGACCATCAGAGTTGGTTTGATCTGCTGCAAAACCAGCCGACAAATCGCTGTCTTGGCCTCTTCTATCACAAGATACCACAAAGGAAGCTCAGCACGTTCTCGCGCTGTGCCAGCTCTGCGATTGAGATGGGATCTGCGGGGAGGGGAGCGAAAAGAGATGTGTTCGCACTAGAAGAAACAGAACGTGAGACTTGGAGACAAATGTTGGAAGGCAAATGTACTCTGGGCAACTCTCGCCGATATTCCTACGAGTCGGGAATAAGAGAAACACTTTCTACCAAACCTGGGAATGTTCAATGGAGTTTTACAGTAACTCAGAGACTTAAATGTGGAAGTTTTAGGCAACATTTAACGGCACATTTTTTTTCATTCTGGACAGAGCTATGGATAACAAGACTAACGCCTAAGAAGAGATCCGACGTAAGGATTGAAGTAAAACTTGGACCACTTTGCATACATGTTTCTCACTTGACGTTTTAGCCGCATAACGATGTGCTTTGAGTATAACATCGAGCTTTAACAAATATTTAAAGATGGAACATACATCGATCGATAAGGTAACACAAGGCTCATTTTTATATTTGTTTTAGATGTTTTACCTAGGTGAAATGGCTTAAGATGACGAATAAAAATGTTGCTTGTAATACAGTTTTGCCTGCTAAATTCTCCACATTTTGTAACCTGTTTATTCCTTTGGATGTAAAGCGTTTTTGCTTAGTATTGTGATATTGTATATGTTTTGTCCCAGTTGTATAGTAATGTTTCAGTCCATCAACCAGCTTTGGCTGCTGAAATCATACAGCTGTGAAGACTTGCCTTTGTTTCTATTAGATGGCTTTTCAGTTCTGTATTAAATATCTTAAGTACTATAGAAAAGGTGTCCCCTCTTCCTATAAGGCTGTTTTGTAATATATATAAGGACTGGAAATGTGTTTTTAAAGAGAAGAAGCATTCAAGTATGACGATATACTATCTGTGTTTTCACCATTCAAAGTGCTGTTTAGTAGTTGAAACTTAAACTTATTTAATATCTCATTTAATAAAGTGACCAAAATACATCAGCGTGCCTTGTACTACATTCCCACGCAGCGTGAACCCCGCAGGGACGCGGCCTGAGCACGTGTCTCCCGAGAAGCTCTTGAGCTCCCTTGGTTTTTCTGCGGCGAGGTACCTGGTACTGGATGTAGCCGTTAATTTCGTTTCGGGAAAATAGTTGTGGTCCGGGTTTTCAAAGTATTTGAATTAGTAGCAGCCTCGGCAGCCAATCTGTCTGGTTAAAAATGAAGAGGGAGTTATTGCCCAGCAGCAAGTAATTAGGAGAGAGGGGAAGTTCTACTTGGTCATAGGATCACAGAATGGCCTAGGCTGGAAGGGACCTTAGAGATCATTTTAATCCAGCCTCCCTGTCATATTAGAGTAACCTACCTGCGTATTTTAACCTCAGCAGGGTACTTCTCCCTTTCTTAGTTATTAAGTCCTGCCTGTTGGCCCCCAAAAAATCTTTCCTACGCAAAAAAAATAAAATAATGGTGTGACAGTTGAGTTTTAAATCTGACCCTACACTTGTTCCTGGAATTTGAAGTTTTGTGCCTCCCAGGTGATGCTGCAGCCACATCCCGGCCCTGGCCGGGTCTGCTCGGGGAGGTGCAGCTTGTCCTGCCCAGGGCCGGGGATGGAAACCGTGTCTGGTGTGAAAACAATCGAACTGTGCTACAAGGCACAGTGTGGGCCACGGGTTTTTAAATATCCCTGTGACTTTTAACTTGATTGAAACCTTTGGTAGGGCAGTGGGAAGCTTGTGTGTGTGGCCGAGGCTGAACGTTGGCTCTCTGTGTCCTGGGGCGAGTCTCCTGCACGAAGCAGGTTTGTGAGGGGCTCCGATGCTGAACAGTGACATTTCCATGTGTTGGGGGCTGAATGCTTACCCGAACTTTGCCTGCTCCCCGTGCCAGGATAGTTGGTCATGCAGCAGACCCCTGAGCATGAGCTGATTGCAGCTGGTGGGGTGCAGGAGAGGACATCACCCTTTGGAGGAGGTACCCGGGATCGTCATCTCCCAGCAGCGCTATCCCAATCGGGTGTGGATGTCTGTCTCGCCATCAATGAGAATTTCGTCTCTCCTTCGGGGATGCTCCATCCCTGGGTGCATTTTCAGGAACATCTGGGCCGTGATCTGGCCCCTGTGACACATCTCTGGACGTCCAGCCAGGTGGGGCAGCACCCAACCAGAAGGGTCACCGTCCCTGCCTTTGGGCACTGAGTTTCTGGACTCCCTCTGCAGTTCTGGGTAAGTTTCTGAGGCCTCCACTCTCCCCCACAGAGAAAGGAGAACCACGGCAGCCAGGGCGCCATTGTGCTGA